ATTGCATTGGAAACTGAAATGTTACCAATTGTTCTCAACGAGCTATCGCAAGTTATAGATTTTTATCAATACTCATTCGGTTGTAACAAATCTTGCTTATTCCAGTATTGTAAAATTTTCATTTTGTATGCTTCTGGTTTTCTATATCATGTTGGTATATCGATGAGTAATGTAATAGGCATATCCATATCACCTTATCTATTAGCATTTTTAATTAATCTTTATCGGCGTTAGTAATAGATGCCTATGTATTACTTTCTTATTGCCATGCAAATCGTTTGCATGATAATATTATCTGTTATTATCTATTTATACCACTACTACGCAATTATATAGTGCCCCAGTCTCAATGTAGATTATCTGGTTTCCTTTAACCGTTTCCTTCTTTTTTTAATCTTTTATCGAACCCATGCAAAAAGATTAAATGTTAAATTCCATTTAGGGTTAATCCAGTAATTCAGACAACGAGTTTGAAATAAAATATCACAAGCCAAACTTTATGGAATCTTCCGATTATCAGTTATTTCTAAACTCAACGACAATTTATAACAGTAGATGCTCTGTTCCTAATAATCTGTATAAATCTGTAGTCTTAATAAGCGATTTCCATATTTACGACTCACAAGAACACGGAATTCAAATAATTAACTTGATTTCTATAACCAATAAATTACATTAATCCCGCTTTCTGCTAATTACGGAGCCATCGTTATACCAATCGATTAGCTCATTGACATTTGAAAATATACTTTAAGTTATAACTAACAAAGTAAATTTTATTTTTCTAAGAATATCTTTGTCTGTTTCGCCGTTTGTGTCGAATATTTGTTCTAAATTATAGACAATGACCATAAAATATTGTAATGATCCGATTATACTTATTTATTGATTGAAAAAACCATCTGTATGGGTTTTGTTATCTACTAAACTACATATTTAGAAATAACTGTATACATACCTGCACATTTTTAATGTCAGCAGTACCCTGAGGTACCCCCAACCCCCATATGCCACTGCATCAAAAGCTTACGAGCGATCTTAAAAGTATTTCAATTATTTTATTGATTTTTTCTTTCAACCAAATGAATGAGATTAAATAATCACCTTTTAAATAATGTAAACAAGTCATCAAAGAAAAAACAAGAAAAAAACATGTTTATAATGTCGTTTGACAAATCCTAATTGGCTTAAAATTTTAATTCGTACAGATGTCCATTAATGAATGAACGATTACGTATTTGATTGGCAATAGTTTTTATAGCTATAGATATAGAATTTTGCGATTGACCAATAAATCTGTTTACAGACGGAACCATATATCTATTCATGGACATTAAACTCGATTAGTTTCTTACATCATTATTAGGAGTCTTTTAATTTGACCTGTTTTTTTTTATATTTTTGTCCGTCGTTAATGTGATTAAGTAGAATTAAGTGTGATTTATAACTTAATATCTATTAATATGGTAATTAATATTGATTTGTCAATGGAAGAAAGCGAAAGTGCCGATTGATTCTCATAATAATAAATCTAAAATAGATTGTGGAGTTACAAGCTCAGCTAGCTACTGTTATTATTATCAGTGTGGTCTATTAAATCATTGGTTGGTTCATCATGACTTGCTGTTTATCAAATTTCATCATATTTGGAATGGAATTTATATCAAACATTGCCTGCTTTTAGGTTATTACGGCTTCTTACGACAATCTTATCTGTCATTACCATTATCACTTTCAAATACGTTTTCCAAAAAAATACTGGTACCTAATAATTTACGGATTACTTACTTTGATATTGTGATCCTTATATTATTTACTGTAGGTATGAGCCTGTATCTCTTTTAAAGTCCATAAGTTAGTATGTACTTTGGTCTGGCTACAATCGTAAAAACAGGTGTAAATTAAACGATTACACTTGTAAATTGCTACTGTTATATAGGGCTGGCAGTTAGTTTATTTTGTTTAGCTGACCTTTGAGTGAATAATTCTTCTTTCAAGTAATATTAAGTTTGCAACCATTGATCAGTTTATAGCCATATTATCCGTCCCTATCGTTCTACTCAACCCTTACATTGATTTTATTTTTCACACAACAACAGTGTTATTCTAATAAAGAAAGGCGTGTATGATAAAATTGAAACATGATAATGGACACACCTTCGTACTATTCGTGTAAGTGCCTAAGTAGATACAAAATACATTCACTTAAAGAACAGTAAAACTATATGCGCTACATGAGCGTACTATAATAATAAGACAAAACCACATATTAAACAAAACGAAATTTGAATGAAGAAGGCAAGTTTTAATAATATGAAGGTACTTACAGCCCTACTAAAATATAGGTACTCGATAGCATAAATAGATTTCATACAAATGTAATTGTCAATGCACCAACTTGGGCATGTGGGTCAAACATGTGTTAAATACCAATGACCATGCAGAAACACCTGTATACGTAAACTTCGATGTGTGAACAAGATATTTTGGGAATTGGACCGTGGTCACCAACTTGTTACCAATATTTGCATACAAATAGATTTGGAGACAAACTTGATTCTTTATCTGTTCAATTGCTTGCTTCATTGGCCTAATGTTTGTGTACATGATTGTGAATTACGTAGTCTTGTTGGTCAAAGTTTGATTTTGTATCTTGGGTTAGTTTTATTAAGGTATAATTTATCATCTTGGTTTTGCTTTTAATTGTAAAACAAGTTTAATTAAAACTAAAATATTTACACCTTAAAAAATAATAATAATGAAAAAATAATAATACCTAATGAAAAAATAATAATAATGAAAAAAAAATTATAAGGCATCAAAGAAAATATTTTCCTCATCGCTACCGTGAGGTAGGGTGCCCAAAAGACTGGCAGCATTGCCACGTTGAATGGCAATGCTTAACCTTTGCCCAAGGTAGTAGCCAGCCCTTCGATCACCTGAAGAATGTTAATGTTAATGTTTTATTAAGGTAATTTTTCACTGTCTGAGATTACACATAGCAGTCTTATAAAATGATGTTCCATTTATAATCACATGGGGAAAAATCATTATTGAATGTTCCCAATCTTATTAAGCCAAGACTTACGAAGCAAAGAAATTATCGTCACTGCTAATATTTCCCCTTCCCTAAACCAATAGCAACACTGTTCCAAAAACCCGACCAGGAAAGCAAATCCATCAAGAAATGTCAAATAAAATTAATCCTAATGAATTAAAATTGTAAAGTTTATTAGGCGTCGCCCCAATTACCCGTTGCATGTGAGATTCGTGGTAAATTTCTTTAGATTGATAGATGTGGGTCAATTTATGTTTACCATGTTCAAATCATGGCGATATTGATGATACAAAGAGGAAGGAATACGAAAAATAATAATTAAATAGTTTTATTTCAAGGGATGATCAATGGCGTCTTTAATATGGTAATTTAGTAAAGACAAACTCTCGCCTGGTGAGTTCGATTCTACCTCTAGAATCGCTGTAAGCAATTTGATTGACTTTAGATTTTTAGATAAATTCAAAGTGTTTGAAATTATTTTGTTTTGAAAAACACTACTAGAAATATCTACAAACATCGTCAACTCCTGATTCCTATTTCAAAACCACGTAGCATTTCAATTTTCAACTAACAATTGTTCAAACTCCAATCCTTTCACCTTCGAACAGAGTCGATATTCTATCGACAGCTCATAGTAGAGGTGTGAAAATAATATTGTAATGCTTCGTTGGAACCGTTGTTTCATAATAATGATACAGTGGACTGAAATTGTGACAGCTGTTGTTAAATATGATGTCTACAAATGCTTGGCATGTGAATTATGTCTTTACAGCGTCTCAAATGTAGTTCTGTCTTGTACTCTCTTTGGTATATCATGTTTTGTTGTGTGTTCATTTTGGTGAAGTATTTTCGTAATTATTCTGTAAATGGAACTTGGGTTTTATTCCCTCTCTATCCTTCTTTTGGAGCCTTTATTCTAATAGCATTACTTAGCTCAAGAGTAAAGTCAAACTGTTTATTAATTTTTTTTTTACAAAACCATTCTCTTCATTGTTATTTTTTGCTTCCAATAAAATTATAATAATATGAGATTTTCAATTTGAATTTGTTATGGAACTGGTTTTTGAAAAAATATAAGACTAGTTATAGACTTTGAGAATGAAATGACTTACATATGACTAACATAACTTATCCAAAAAATTAGTCGCACATCTTTGATAACAAATCATGTCAACAATGATTATAAAAGTCATAAAAATGATAGCAAAGATTAAAATTGAACTTAACAGATAAAATTAACGAATTATTAATCATTTCCTAAAACACGGTTCAGGAATTTTATCTAAATATTGAGCATATTAATATGAAGTTATCTGATTATAATATTAACGAATTCTTTTATTACTTATCTCTGCAAAATCTGTAATAATGAATACTGTTTCTTAGTATTCATAATTCCTATATCCGATTCAAAATTCCATAATAGGCTAAAACATAGGTACCTATCTATTGTTAGATATAGTGGGTGTTTCCATTCAATTGTTGTGGCAAAAATTTAATCTTATTAATACTGATATTATAAATATTTTGCCAATATATTTCCTCAACTTATTGATATTTCAAACGTAAAACAGGATGTATTTCTTGCCTACTTAACAAAGTCTATATTCATTACGATAAAGATTTTCTAAATACTCATTAACAAACAGGATGCCAAATAGATTCATACGTCGTTAATAATAACACTGATTAGATTTGTGTTTCCCTTATACATACGAATACGTGTGCAGATATAGTTACTGTTAAGTAATGTCTCTATGCCTTTTTTTAAAATGTGAAGACCTGTTTCTTCAGAAATAGGACTACATTTAACTGGGTCGACGTCTATTTTTTTATCTTTATTTGTAAAGGTAGCTTTGTACTTGAGTGAAAAAGTCACTGACGATTTCGTCCAGATTGTGTTACTCTGTTTATATATTAATTTATGTTTACTTTTGCGCAGGTGCTGTGTGGTGCAGTGGCGGACGCGGGCGACATGATAGCCAACGTGAGCCGCGTGCGCCGCGCGCCACAGCCTCACTACTCGCACCGCGTCGTGTAAGTATCACCTTCACCTATTTCATGTTTACCTGGTAACTGCACCGTACATCCGCAACGTATTTCTAGTTGTCACTTGTATTTGTTTTATTGACTGGAACCAATATTGCCTAGTTAAACATTACAACTGATCTAAATATAGATCTTATGCATCTAGCAAATACTTGACTTCACGACACATCTGAATTCTTATCTATTTATACTGATAGTTCCGTGTTTGATCTTCCAGGACGGACGAGGATTTCGACATGACTGCGGCAGCGGCGTGGAAGCGCTCGCACTGGCGCGACATGCAGTCCATACTCCGGCGCGAGGGCAACCAGAAGGATGGCGTGCAGTGTTGCCCCTCCGTCCTCGAGATGGTCACCAAGAAGGGAGGGCGCACCCCCACCGGTCTCTACGTGGAACTCTACGAGGACGGGGAGAACCAGCAGAGACTGTTCGAGGTGTCGTGTGCCCCCAACGTGGTTGACAAGCCGTGCCGCTTCGTCGACGCGCGACTGTACAACGAATCGAGGTGCATTCAAAAGTACTCATATTCGTACGCCCTCGTGCGATACCTGCACTCGGCCGCGACGGAGACGCCGCAGCCGCGGACCGAGGGCCACTTCTCCGTGCCAGGCTCCGGCGGCTGGTCCATGGACTATGTGCGAGTGCGCGCCGGTTGTGAGTGCCAAATTAAACCCAAAACAAATAAACCCGCCCGCAGAAGACACAAGCAGAGGAAGAGGAATAGGAGAGTGGTAGAAGATGACGAGACCTGATTCTGGGCTCAGTGCTAGTGAATTCGTGACTTTGAACAAATTTGGGATCGTCCCTTAGTATTACGTTTACAAAGATACCTTTTCTGATGTTTCTCTTCGGTTCGGAACAGTGTCGTGTACAGAACAGCAGCCGAGCTATGACTGTCAGCGCCGCGCTGTGCGCTGCGGATGGTTTCTCGTTACCTACTTCAAGTGCACACTTGAGCGGTACTCTGCTGTCGGTCGATGTATCAATGTATTTATTTTATTTTTCGTCTATATTACGCTTCTTGTTGTAGTCCGTTAGTTAGTCTCGATCTTATGAAATTAAAGTGCCTTTTAGTGCCTTAGATTTAAATAGTTCACTATGTGCTGGGAATTGTTGAAATTTTGATTCCAATGCGTTATCTGTATGTTTAGTATTAAATGTAAAGATTAATGTCACACGAATAGTGAAAGTTCAATAATCGAAATCTTAGCTGTTAGTAGAAAATCATCACAAGCTTAGTAATATTGAGTAATGTAACCGAGGTGACGTTATTACCATGTCCGACTCTTTAATATTCATACAAAATGATATTCGTGTGACACTCGCTTACAAACTACATGATAATGTAATAGTTACCGGTTGATCGAGGTGCATAGATGTAATACGACTTCACTGCGCTGCCGCTACACTTTCAATTAATTTTAAGTTAAAAAACAACGTCTTGTATGTACCACGTACTACGATCAGCACCAAGAACAGAATGGTCCATGCACTAGTAGTTCACTAAGCTTGTATTTCCGAAATTTGGCTATTTCCCAAGTAATGTCCCGGGATTTAATTCCAAGCTAGTATTCATCCAGATGTCGGGCATATCAGTATCGTACAGTTTCACAACTCTCCGGCTGGAGCAATTCTTTCTTTACGTTTCCAATAGTTCATTCTTGTCATCCATAGCTCTTTCACTTCTAGCTTTTCTAGTTTTAATAAAACAGTTTCTTCGCTATTTGTATTTAGTTTCCCTTGTGTTTGTTCTCCGTTAGTTATTGTATTTCTTTCATCTGCCTAGTTCATAGTACATGGTACATGGATTTCGTTGATAATAACAGTAAAGAGCAGTCTGTGATCACTTCTACACGTTCAATAAGCCGTAGTGGAGTCACAATGATTCTCTTGCGAAACAATGCCTTTAATGGTAGTACCCACTATTTAATGATTAAATCAATAAGATAAATTTAAAGAATATTTGTATTCAGTAGTTTGCCTAATGTAATTTGGTTTCTACTCATCTACATTGTTTGGTCTACCATTCAGATAATACCTACATATTTCATTGTCATTAACTTTATCGGCAGCTACATCTTTTAAGTATTTCTAGTATACTTTATCACCTTTATTTTTAAAATTGTTCCCCACGCTACTTTTTTCTGATAATGCCTTTCGGTTTTCGCCAAAGCTTTAGCAGATGGTTGTTTCACATGAGGATCATTGCCAGATAAAGTCGTTCCACTGATTATAATGCTCTCTTCCCTTTTAAAATTAAGGATATTTATTCAAAGTTAACAATTTATAATTTTTTTGTTATTATTTGTAACAGTACTTACTTCTTAAACATAAGTGCGTCGAGTCAAAGATCTGTATTATTTTCTATTTTGTAATACTTTTATTGTATTTAAAAATGTAGTTATATTTTTAAGGATTAATTTCATTCTATTTATACTGTTTAATACGAGGTATTCCGATATACAGTATGAATGCTAGTTTGTACGTAGAAATCGCTTCCATAAAATATAATTGATGTATATAAATAACGCAATAGTATTGTGGACTGAGATTATTTTGTGCATTTAGATGTGTAATAACAGAACGAGAGAATATTTTTATAATAAGATAACGCTATCCATCGACAATAAAATTTTAATACCAACATGCAGCGTCATCTCTTGACGAGTAGTGACAACCATTTAATTTGTGCGTTAACTGCTAGATGTCGCTGTCTTCACATACCTGTCTAACATTACGCAGAACAGTGCCATGTTTAATTAATATTAATTAAGTAAGTCAATAAAATGATTTACTGAATAATAAATAGAGATGTTAATGCATGTATTATAGTTCTATTACCAGTTGACATTCAATGTACTTACCATCGAGATGCTTACATCAACAAAATTTATGTAATAACGAAATAATAATATCCAAGTGCAATGTGTCATAGTTGGTATACCTGTAAAGTATTTAATTAAGTAATTACAAATCATGCAAACTACTATAACAATGTTATCCATCATCACAACAGCTATACGTTATTTTATTGTTGACATCAAAAACAAAACTTTAAATAAAATAAAAATCTGAAATAGCAATAATTCTTTTATTGTCGTCTTATATTCGAATAATCCTTATAGGAATCAAATTATTACAATATCTATTTTCCCGGTCGTTTCCTAACCCAGTTAGGGATGACACAGAGTCTTATCAATTTCAATTGAATATTATTTATATTATGAAACTTAAACAACTAATTAACTGCTCCTAAAAACATAAGTCTTCATTTATAACGCAACAATTGCAGTACAATTAAGTACTAAACGTCACACGCCGCTTATTTAACTTTTAGTCTTGTAAAAACAATTATTCAGCATCGTGATCTGAAAAGATAGAAAATTGTAGATTAATAAACATAACATCCCAGAAGGAGTAAGCAGAGGAGCACTTTACGGCAATTGGCACTTAATGCCACTGTATAATATAAGACACACTTTTCAGTATTTAAGTATGTTTTTTTTTTAAGGGGGGAAAATCATCGAATGACTGCTCCCGCCTGGGTGAGGCGGAAGGGAGTGTCAGACTCTTACTGACTAAAAACCACCCCGTTCCTTCTCCTGCACGTCGAGCCGGAGCCCCGGTTACCCGTTAGGTTCTCCGCGACTCCGAATCGGCATCGGCCCTATTGGGCCCCATCTGTGGTGGTCTGATGGCTTTTTGAGGCGCGCGCGGAACGCGACGCGCCGTAAGTATTTAAGTATGTTAAGTCCCATGTAATAGGGGGTGAGCCTATTGTCATATATCTACCGGGCACAATTCCAGACTCCGTGGTACTACTAAGCAATTTATCAAAACTCAGTTATACTTCGCTCGACTCGGATATCGAACCCGAGATCCCTTACCCAGTAGTCGCACTTGCGACTACTCGGCCAATGAGGCAGTCGAAATATTAATACAATTAAAAATAATTGCATTAAAATAATAGCATTTAGTTTTGCTATTCGATAACAGATGGCGCTATTGCAAATTGTATTGAATAATTCTAACACAGTTATTATAATTTAATTACATTAATAAAGTTAACTCACCTAAATATACTGTTGTTAAATACATCAAACCAAAACCAAGTCCAACCGAAAGGAACTGTAATAATCCTGCGCTCCTCTTGCGCTCATGCCAGCGCGCCCTCTCGCGGGGAAGAACTTCACTTACTGTGACGTACAGTAGCGTACCAGCTGCCAAACCCTGTAATTATAAAATTTTGTTACTAGATGGCGCTAATCTTATTTTTTTTACTTTTCCTTAAAATTGTATCTAAACCTCTTAAGAAACATGTTTTATAACCTTCAAAGCATGCAAAATTAATAGAGTCCTTCAAATTATTATTTTTTACTATAAATAACTTCTATCGTCAATCGCATCTCATTCGTACCTAACTGAATGTTCAAGTTTGCTCATTATTATTAGTAATGTGAATATACCCACTATTGATCACATTAGTGATATTTTCAACTACTTAAATTTTTTTTTTTATAAATACGAACAACCTAAAATTAATTACTCTCTAAGAATTTTATATAAAATCCTTCAGATAGCTAATACGAACATCTTTGACAATATTCAAATGAAAATAAAGAAGTCTTAGAAACAAAAATCCATTATTAAACTATGTATTAAAAATTACCTGCATAACCGGCACTGCAATGGATTCCTTCAATGAGTTGACAGTTTCCAATCCCGCACCTATCCCGATTCCAGCTACAGATCCCGCACTGAAGAGTGCGATGCACAGGATATGTGCACACGCCCGATTCGGGAAATTCTCACACAGTTCTGCACCCAAACAGAAGCCGACCACGAACTTGTGGGAGCTCACTGCTGCCAGTAAAAGAAGCACCTGGAAATACATAATTAAAAGGCTTTAATAAAATCATTTTATTCAAACCTTTATCAAACCTATATCCTACCTATATTTTTATGGAATAAGGTAAACGAGTAGACGGATCACCTGATGGTAAGCAATCGGCGACGCCCATGGAGACTTAAAACACCAGAGGCGTTACAAGTGCGTGACGACCTTTTGGAGATCAGGAATTTGAGGATTGTGGAGGATTGGGGAGACTGGCGAGGAGGGGTAATTGGGCCATTTATAAATATTATAAAATATGTGTAAGTTTTAGGGGTAATTATATATGTTGTTTTTGTCCTTTCAAGCAAAATTAAGTGAATATCTACTTAGATCTGAATGTACAAATGGATCAGTCTGGTCTGAATTAACACATGGGGGAGGATTTTATCCCAGGGAGAAATTAGTTAACAAAATAAACCAACACCCTATTATTTATTTTATACATACAACATCGTAGTGTATTCTCGTAATTAGGATGTGGGCAAACGAGCAGACGGATCACTACTTAGGTAATTGGTAAGCAATCAGCGCTGCCTACGAAAAAAAATGATAACATAAATCTATGGTTTTCCTCACGGAGTTTTCCCACATTCGTTACCGTAAAACGTACCTACAGTAAAGAGTTTCAGCCTCAAATATCAAAGTTTCATGATGATATATAGTGCAAACACTCGTTTTTTTATAGAATAATATCTTTGTGAATAAAACAGATTTTTTTTTAACAGCTACTGACTGAATAGGAGGATACCTACATTAGATACTAGCTTCATATTTTACATACATACATTCACACGTACCTATGATATACACATAGATAGTGCAAACACTTGTTTGTTTATAGAAAAATATCTTCGTGAATGAAACAGATTTTCTTTTCTAACAGCTAATGAGTGAATAGGAGTATACCTACATTAGACATTACCTACATATTTTACATACATACATTCACATATACATATAATTATACCTTCCTATTCTATCTACCTACAAAGACCAAATGGCGGTTTGTAAAATGTTTTCCTCAATTCAGTTAGAATTAATTTGTCCATGTCTGGTTTTACCTGTGATAAACGAATCGAGATATAAATACCAAACTTGAATTAAATTTCTATTCACCATCGATCGAAAACTGTACTTACTACAAACACAGATAGAGATTTTGTTAAAAAAAATAAATATTTTAAATTGATCATTAGGCACCTACACTACTAAAATTATGTATAGGATTGGAATACTTCTTCACTAAAAAAATAATGTTCGACGTTTTAATGCTTCTTACAATAATACTTTAAAATTGAAATACTTTCATTAACCCTTAGAGCGCCACGTCAGTCACCGGTGCCTGACGCTAGTGGAGGTTTGACTTTCACCATTTTAAACTTGGCAGTTAAAGTATTAACTGTGTTGTGTTTTTTGATATTTCAAAATGTTCACACACTGCATAATAATAGATATGTAGCTACTATACAGGCACCAGTACACGACTGCTGAGCCGACATGTCACGAATACCGTAGATATTATCAGTATCAGCGCAGTAATTTTGAAAGCACACCTAGTTACCATCAGGGGATAAACATATTTGCATTTAGCAGGAAAAACTACATCTGCAATTTTAATTTTGATGACTGTGACTGACTGGCTGTGATTCCCCGAAGAGAACCACCCACCTTTACGATAATTGTATTGTTTTCATGTGTACTACTTTTACGGACAGACTTCTACATATGAATGTTTTAGTAGTAGAAAGAAAATTAGTACTTAACAAATAAACAGACAAAAAAGTTATTATTAAGGATCAAAAAGGCCAGCCAGTGGTAGTAGTTTTCGTAAAATTAATAAAGTTGAAGTTTAAACTTTTTATGAAGGCGTCCACATGGGTTTGGATATTCATTAGTTTCTCAGTTCTGCAGTTCTTTTTAACTGCAGTTCTTAAGCAGTTAAAAAGATGGGAGGACAAACTAAGACTAACAGGGACCCAACTGGAAAAGAGTGACCCGCGACGGAATTCAATGGAGACAGCTAGAGGAGGCCTTTGCCGATAGGCACATTGAATTAAGAGATATACTACTTATAACCCTTTTTGTAACAACTCTTATTGTAAAAATTCAGAATAAAGGGCTTTATTATTATTATTATAGTTTCTCAGTTCTAGTTTAGCTTCCTTGTGCGGACTGTTAAGGACTGGAATTCTTTTCCAGACTCTGTATTTCCTGAAGACTACCTGGGTATCTTCAAGGCCCGAGTGAATAGGTTGATTATGGGACGACGTACTCCATCGTAGACCGCATCATCGCTTACCAACAGGCGAGGTAGTGATCAAATGTCGGTCCATCAAATATAAAAAAGTAACTACGTTAAGTAATGTTAATCATTTTAACTGTATGAAGTAAATGAAGAGTATTTGTTTTCTTGTCTTATCTCTCGAGTATCTTAATCTAGGCATCCTGACCTTGGCCAATAAGTAACCTAACCCAATTAGTATGAAGCATAATCGGCATGACATAACGACTTAGATAACAATGCACCTAAAACATCAGTTGTTCAAAAATCTTTATGTATAGATTTAAAAAAGGTCCGAAAGTATTCGAGGAGTTAAAAAAAAGTGTGAAAATTTTGAAAGTTCACTTATAGAATATTTATATCGACACGAAGCAATAATCCTGAACAAGTATAAGTAGGTATCTAGTATATTATGCGCAGTTTGTAGTTATTTTCCTTTTAGATAAACCCAGTATTTATTTTTAAAAGGTAAAGTTACCGTTTTCCTCAAGATCCAAAGATCCATATTTCGACCTATTCTAGACTGCAATGTGTACTGTCTATGTAAACAGGTACTTCATAATTTGATTGATTGTAAATCTTAACGGGTGTGCTTATAGGAATATGATAGAAGCTAAAGTAAATAAATGTGAGAATAACTCTATCGAGACTATTTCCCAGTTTTACTCTTTGCGCTAGGAATGTCAGCATCTTCTCTCAGCCCAAAGATCTGATATCAAATATTTTGGTTCAGCTAAGCTCACTTAGAAGATAAGAAACGAAGCCTTCAAACTTTCTTATTTTTTTTTTCATTTTTTGACAACTATTTTCTGATACAAGTATTTTATTAATTGGTAACATTTGTCGTATATTTTATATATTAGTATATTATATGTCGTAGTTTAGTTAAAATGAGAAGAAGTTATAAAGGTTTTGAAAAAAGCGTGCTATCGTCAGCTAATCTAATCGAAGCCACTTCTTTGCTCCCAAGTGTAGAATAAGAAATAATATAAGTTATGTATAAATATACCTAACTTTGGACTAATGAGTCAATCTACAATAATACAATACAACTAATGTATTGATGACCTCGAAATTCATTCTCCCAATTTGAAAAGGTCTTATAGATTAAAGTCAAGGGCAAAACTATCGTTATTTTATTCGCATAGTTATTATTATACTATCGTTACACGTTCCTGTTTCATACAGGTCCGTCTTAGTCGTTATTTTCTAATTTTTCCTTTCATTAAAAACAAAGGGCAAGGGGTCTTGGGCTTAATTCCCGGGTCGGGCAAAGTATTACTGGGTTTTAAAAGATTCTCAATAGAAGCACGGAATCTGGAATTGTGCCCGGTATATGGCAGTAGTCTCACCCCCTATTACATGGGATTTATAACATAAATAGTGAAAGTTGGTGTTACATTGTACAGTGGAATTAAGTGCCATAATTTGCACCTCTGCCTACCGGTGATAAATGGCGTGATTTTATGTAAAAACAAAGGAAAATCGACCATCTTGCACCCGGTTCTTTTTTAAGTGGCGAAAATCATCGATTGACTGCTCCCGCCTGGGTGAGGCGGGAGGGAGTGCCAGACTCTTACTAACTAAAAACCACCCCGTTTCTTCTCCTGCACGTCGAGCCGGAGCCCCGGTAACCCATTAGGTTCCCCGTGACATCTTGTCCCGGGATAGGGAAATGAAAATTAAAGAAAGCACAGTCGTTTGTCAGAAGTTCCTTCGCGTATCTACGATTCAATATATTATACCTACACAATATATACCTACATTTCGATGATTAATACTTTTTTAAATCAATCCTCCAATTATACAGAATACCTACCGTAAAATTTTGTAAGATTGCTAGTATATATGTTTTGTTCCACAATGACGTGAGGCCAATATAATTAGTTATTCTAGGTATGAGATACTAGTATGAAAACCGACCGTATTTTAAATGAGATAGAGATTATTATGGCAGTTTAATTACTTTCTTGATATTACTAGCTTGATATTTAAATACATCCTTTAATCCAACAAAACTTGTTACTTATTAAAATAAATTCCTATGACCTGTTTTAACTTAGGTAATTATTGTCACTTTTTGGGTTTTGATAGATCTAAAATTGATTAAGAACTGATAAAAAAAATTACCTACGTAAGTAAGCCACATTTTGCTTCCTAAAAAATTAATTAGTTTAACATTTTAAATCAGATGCCACATCGATTAACATTTTTTATAAATTTTAGTTTTGAAAGGAGGTATTTTGCAATGAATAAAACATAGGATTATATGTTTAAGAATAGATTGCAATTTAATTAATTTAGTACTTAATATTCTTAAAATTATTATATATATAATGTAATTTATTATTATTATATTAACCTATGTGCGTAACATATGTAGTTATTTAACATATCTACACATATAGACGACCTTTATTATGTATTATGTATATTGACAAGGAAAATATCACGTGAGCAACTAAGTGTGTGTTAATTGTATTTATTACACAATTGCACGAAATGATAATTATATATAATGATTTGTCAATAACTTTGTAAATCAAGTACACAGGTATGTTACCTTGTCACTGATACGAATTTTACAACATATAGCATTTGCTATTTAGGTACCTATTTAGGTAGGTTACTCTTGCTAATTATTTAACATAAGAAACTTATATAACACAGCTCTGATTCAGCGGTTGCAATTGCAATTGTGCGATTTTAAAAGGGAGTTAAATTCACAGACAAGCTCTCTAAACGAAACATTAATTGGTGAAAATTTTAATGTGTAAGAGATAAAAACTAATAAGCAAAAACTAACTTAGTACTTTTTTATTTAGTTTTTCATGTACACAATGTGATTACACAATGGCACATAAGGCGAAGTTAATGCCATTTATGGCATTCTCTACCAGTCAACATAATAGTCTACATACCTTAGGGCTTAAGTAGAAAATCTACGAAAAATAAGTACACAGGGCCACACATCAATCTGTACAAAACCAGTTTATCCTGGTGTCGCATCGCATCATCTTTCTGCACATTCAACGTTCAGTTTATACTGGTTATGTGAACCTCGATGGGTAGCCGTGTGTACTACTCCTATTGGATAAAACAGAACAGTTTTTGGTTTTTTGAAGTCGGGTTTTAAACGCAGTTTTTATTTTATTATAATGTGCCACTTTCTGAGCGCTTAGGTATAACCTATCTACACCTTTCTATTTATAACATCATTGGTTTTCACGCTTTGTATACGGACTGAAGATCACACTTCATAAGGTTCAGATTGTTATTTGTTATTATAACGGAGTAACGATTCGTAACGGAGGTACTTATCATTTATCATAAGAGGATTATATCACAGAATGTAGGTCAAATGATAAGGCTCCTTAGGAAACCTACCAGACGAAAATAAAGACCAAATAATTATTGTTGTAGATAAATTGTTGCAAGATAAGGTTATTGTAATAAAATTGTTGTATATGTTTATGTAGACGGTAAATAAACATGTACTGACTTCTTGATGTATTTTAAGTAAGCGTCCGTGATGTGAGGCGTTCAATTCCTGAGTAGATCTAGTACTAAAGTAAATAGATAGATAGTTTCCTCCAAGGTTTAAACCTAAGGCCTCTTCCTCAGCAGTCGCCGTTGCAGCCACCCAACAAACAAAGGCTAGATTGATATTTTTTTATTTTAGACACCACCTTACGTATCTTTGTGTATGTTTATATTCCGCAAAGGTAACCTCAACAAAATAAAGGTTGCAAAAAGTGGTTTTTGCATTATTTATTTGTCCGAGCGTCATCATACACGTCAAACCGGTTGCAGTCGTGTATCAGTGCATTGACTGCCGAAATTGTAATTTTTAATACACTATCTTGCTTGTTTACAAATACTTTTACGATAGGATAGAATTGTATTAAAACTTACTCTTATATGCTTCTTTTTGTTAGTCTGCAAATAGTGATGTAGCAGTAATTTTTTAAATGTCGAATTCTAAACCCAATAGAAGTACTGTCACGGAGTCCGGAATTACGTGTTGTCTCCGTGACAGTACTGATTTTCGAAAAGGTGAAAATTCAGAATAACTCTGCCTGACCCGGGAATCGATCCTTGGTACCCACGTTTTCTATCTCGTGACTATCAAGATCATCATCCAGTTTACCTAATTGAACGGAGTTTAAGATTAAATAGGTCTTTAGTTCCTTAGCCGTAATACCTTTGCAGTTGTCTAAAGGTGTGGCCACGTCCCTTTCACTCGAGAGCTCACCTTTAAACCCACGGGTCGCTGGTATTTATAGAATAAAGATAAGCTTATATTAACTTCCTTTGTTGTAGTCTGTTATGAAGCATTTTATAACCAACTTATATAAATGATTTCTTTTCGACTTCTTCATTGTCGGTCGTGATTGTAGATTAACATTGCGTTGCGAATGCAAAGATAGTTCCGGAATTTATTCTATATTTAATCACTATATAAGTACCTAGTGGCCGTACTCAGAGATGTGTATAATGATTACTTAAACTATTCCTTAGAATGGTTTTAGAGTCGCGCTGACCGCACGCTGATCGTCAGCGCTGACAGCCGAAACGAATAAACTTCTATAAAGCGTCTTAGAATAACGCGTGCGTCGGTCAGCACTGACGGATAAAGCTACGGTCTGTGGTCGTCGTCTGTCAAACTACGCGCTGAGCTATGAGCGCTGACGGTCACCGTGAGACTAAAATCAGCCTTATTAACAATTTTGTTCCTAAATCAATTGGTAAGGTGACAACTGGGTTTCATAAACATTAAATTATTCTGAGTACGGCGGTAAGAGCTCTTTATTATTTTATTCAAACATAAAATAATAATGAACGGTTATCGAACGCTTCTTAGGAAACAATTTTTAACACATGTAGATAGGCTTATTATTTTAACCGTGTGGTGGCGATAGCATAGAATACATTTGGTAAAGATGAGGTAGCAACACTCTTTGAGAACCGAGCCCTGTATATTTTAAACATCAATCTTGTCAAGCGTGGAGAGATTATGGCAAACCCTTTCACCCATGCATGTCCAGCAGTGAACTGTCAGTCACCGCTCACGAAGCCTATGTGTTTATATCAGTATATTCCTCTGTTAGTATTTAAACATTTATCAGTAAATGAAGGAAGGATATAGTTTATTTTTAAAATATGCTATCTGACTCTGGAGAGGTCAATGCAATACTCATTACTAGTCATTACTTTGCTTGTACCAAGTAAGTATTCCAGCAATTAGATCTTTTATATAACATAACAACACGCCTTTTATTCCCGAAGGGGCAGAGGTGCACATTACGACACTTAATGCCACTGTACACCCATTATTCACTATTTATGTCATGAGTCCCATATAATAGGGGGTGATCCTATTGCCATATACCGGGCACATTTCCAGACTCCGTGCTACTACTGAGGTTTTTACAAACCCAGTAATACTTTGCCCGACATGGAAATTGAACCCGAGACCCTTGCCCGGCAGTCGCACTTGCGACCACTCGGCCAATGAGGCAGTCATCTTTTATATCGTTGACAAATTTAGTATCTTGCATGATGCTCGTTCCCGTAGCAATAATCTAGTTGTTTCTAGATGAACTGATAATTTTCGGATGGACAAATTAAACATGTTTTTCATCAACAGCCTATAAATGCCCACTGCTGAGCAAAGCCTCTTCTCACACGGATAAGGTTAGAGCATTAATCACCACGCTTGCTCAATGCGGGTTGGCGATTTCAAACTTATAATTAGAAATTATAAGTCCAGGTTTACTCACGATGTTTTTCCTTCACCGTTTGTCAGTGGTGTCTAAATAATCTCAGAAAGTACATATAACTCGGAAAAAGTCACATTGGTACTTGCCGTTGGTAGGTTTCAAACCCGCACCCTCATGCATGAGAAGTGGGCGTCTTAAACCTCCGGGCCACCACGACGTCTGTTTTTAACATGTTTTTAGTGAAGCTGAATCGATATCAACGAAAGGCAATCAAATACTTAGTCTTTTCATTTTATCTGAGTCGGTTAAACCATTGGACATATTATACGTGAAAGTTTAGTTCTGAGCAAGAAGATCGCGTACATATTTTCCTCAATTTAAAAACCCGTATGTCAGGGATTGTGTTTTCAAAATAGCGTGACACTGCGTTCAAACATGTTGTCTGAAGCATATCATAACAATGGCTACCCACAACAACAAATCATAACAATTTACCTACCGCCAATGTTTTGAGCATATTTCTAAAATATAATTTATATGTTATATGCGACTTTGAACCCTATTACGCTAAAATTGTTATTTAAAATTCGCTGTAAAATGTTCTTAAATACTAGTGTGATGTAATTGAAGTCAGTGACATTTCGAAATTAAACCCTATAATAACGCAATAAATTCTACTTTATACTTGTCACATAATATTTCTTCCAAAGTAGGATGACTCAGTCAGAGTGACCTAACGTAGACCTAAATGTTTATCAACATGGCTGTCCGTGAACTTTGGTTTTAATTGTTCTGAATCATCGAAACAAAAGAAATGTCCATTAGTGCTAAATACTATTATTTTTTAAATAAAGGATCCTGAACTCATGACTGTTTCGTTGTTAAAGTGGTCGGAAACGTCACTACTAAGCGAAGAACTTGGGCTCGATTCTAGACCCAGTCAAATTATGTATAAAAATTTTGGAGTTTAGTGATCATAATGATACAAAGTATAAGAAGATTTACGCACGAATTATTTAAGGAGACAGCTATGGCGTAATTTTAGCATATTTTTAAATAGATACCACAATAAATTAACTAACATAATGATTCAAGTAACATCGAAAAACGAAAGACGATAAAATAAAGATACACGAATAATTAATAATGATTTCAAATTTACCTGTGTAGCACTTTCCTGGAGTCCAATAGCCAGTCCTTCAAGCACACTGTGGACGAACAACGCAGACAGCAAACCCACGATACTCGAGGAATTCCTATTACAAGGCTCAGCATGGCTCACATGACACAGCTCTGAAGTTCCTTCTCTCTCCCTCATCTCTCCATCATGGTCTCTTGGCAACAACCTTGTCTGTTCACCAACAGGATTATGCCTCTCATGATTCCCACTTCTATAGAAAAGATGGGACAGTTCATCCACCAAGTATACGGTAAAGAAACCGATACATAGTGTCAGTTCGGAGTATTGTGGTAACCGTTCTCTTGTTTCTGGGAGCATGTGGACTAAGGAGGTCGATAAGAGGACTCCTCCCCCAAAGCAGAGAAGACAGGATAGCAGGAGTGGGTGCCTCTGTCTTGCTGCCTCTGAGAAACATGCTGGTAGCATTCCAGAGAAGAATGCTCCTAAGCCCAATGTGAGCATGGATATCGCCCGTGCTGTAGTGATGTCCATCTTGCTCAATTATTGTTTTACCTTCAGTCAACTTGTTTTCTTTCTTTTGTTTATCTTTCCTTTGTTCGTCTTCGTTTATTTCTTTCTTTGTTTATTTGTTTGTAATTATTCGTTAACCTTCTTGTTCATTTCCAACATGTCATCTCATTTCTTTAGTTTTAAAACGTTTAAAATTCGTCCACTCACAAAATGGTATTCTCACATAAAATGTCGGTAAAATTATTTTTAAATCGTGGAATGGAACACATGTGTCGCAGCGACACTAAAAACTTTATCAGATGTAATATTTACATATGTTTATCAATAAAAACAGACAGATTGTCCTGTATCGCGACACACCACCGCACTTTTACAAGCACCCACTACCAATGGCTCGGTATAATCAGTGAACACCCGAACAAACTTAAAAATTACAACCCATCAATAAACGTATCATTCTTATTACTGGGACATAAAGTTCAATTTTGATAAGTTTCTAGTTGGTTCGGCGTAAATGTAATTAGTCATACGAAAGTGTTGACCAATTACAACTGATCTACCCTGCCCCTCTGCAGTGATGATTCACACGAACATTCAAGAGATTATTCTACGTTTTTGATAGGTCAACGTTTTTTGGTACTTAACAAAGAATAATGAAGCGTTTGATGAGTAAATGTTTTTATTTAAATGTATTATTTCGTTGTTATGACATACAAATACGTAACTATTGACCTACGACATCCACGAGCCGCAGCATGAAACCAAAATTAAAAAAAAAACTTAAAAGAAAGTCTACATTTTTATTATTATGTAGGTATGTATTATAAGGTGAACTCAGGTAAATAATCCCCTTATGTACTTTCCTAGTAATTGATAGTGTAAGTAAATAAAACACTAATCTACGCTCAGTATTTGAATAGGAAACTCAGTAAACTATAAAAGATATAATAATATCTATCTTCATCAGATTGATATAACAAAAAGCACATTTTCGAAACCGGTTCAGTAGTTTATGAGGTTACGTCAGACATACTGTTTCTTATTTTGGCACTTCGTTGTGGCCGACTTCCATCCCACAATTAATTTCACGTGGAAAACAATATAAGATATCTTAAAGAGCTAACAACACGCCTTTTTTAACCGAAGAGATAGACAGAGGAGTAGGTAGATACGTTATGAATGAATGTAACGTTAATTACCAGTTTATCAATTACATGTAATAGAGAACGTAAAGAAACTTCCACTGGCCATATACCTAGACTATATTATTTTTGTACTGGATTTCAATACTACTTTGCCTGAACTTGAATCGAGAATCGAACCCAAAATCTCTTGTACGGCAGCCATAACGCAGTCTGGCTAGTGGCCACGATGCCAACGCCATCTATTGAGGTTCAGTAAGACCCTTATGTCCTCTGTTAAGGTAATTATTATAATGTAAAATTTAAAATTCAAAATATTATATAACTTAGTAGATTACTTAATCTTACCGTTGAAAGAATAAGCAAATGTTTAATATTAGATATTAACGGAGAATTTACTCAACTTACTGATAAGAACGTAAAGTGAATCATTCAATAAAAATATCACTGTGTTGTAAAGGTTATCGATTCTCTTCCTGGTTTAACGTAACTTTAATAGGTTTTATTTTGTAAATCGTCAGGTCTTTCTCATGGAAGTAGGTTCACTACACGCAGTTTTTTATTTATAATGTTTTTCAGCTTATTCACGTAATTATTTTCCGAGGATCTCGACTAGTTTCAAGCCATGCTAGAGGCTCATATTTAAAAGCAGCATTCCACGACCCGCGACGCGGCGACTGTCGCGCTGCTACTGCAGTTCTTTTTCTTCAGGAAGTTAATAATATGCCATTACAAGATCTTAAAACACTAAATTAATACTCCTAATAGAGAAAGATAAATAATAAAAACCACTGTAATAAAATATATCAATATCAACGAATGAAATGAAAAATTTAACATTTGTTCATACAAAAGTAGTCTCTAAGCAACGGAAATAAGGTAAATTATGGAGCAAGTGAAGAGCGGCGACCGCATGACACAAATAAATCCTCTTTAAAACGAAATAAAAAAAAATAAAGTCACACAACCAAAGAGTATAATAAGTATAGGCACACAACAGTCAAGAATAATTGTCAGATTGTCAACAAGAGTATAAGAAAAAAGTTGTTGCAGAGAAAATAATGAAATGAATGAGTTGCTGCAAAAACATGGATGTTCCAACGTGTTCACCGTCCCCGAAGGACTCAAGGAGCTCATGTCCGATATCACACGTGAGGTACTACTTCCTTTCCTTTAGTAAACTATAGTTAACTATTGAATCTTGCCAATTGAATCTTGAGCTGAAAACAACTGAGTCCTATCTTAATCTTTTACGTGTGGATATTAATCGATATACCGAATGTAAATTATACTGCACATTTACTTCAAAGCAGTTCAAAGAAAATGTGCTTATATGCGTTTACGTTCTTATCGAATAGTTATCCTCGCAGATGAGTCGCTTGATGGTAAGCAATCAACACAGCTCAATGACACCCACACACAATAAGAGTTCAGGGCACAGACGACTACTCTTTCTCTATGTCAAATCATCATACACAGGTGCTACGCTGGCAACCAGCAAAAATGCTGGACTTCATCGCCAACTACCTAGCAGCGTTACTGATCACACGCGAGCACGGGATCATGGCGGTCAAGATACTGGACGAGCTCTGCGACTGTCACCCAACTGTATCAGAGCATCTGTTGCAAATCGGTCTAGATAGAGATGAAGCTACAGATTTAGCTACCATTATCAAGCACGAAATTGAGGCATCCAAACCCCTTGAAGGAAAGGGTATGAAACCATCCTAATATAATATTTTGTTACGGTTCATAAATTTTATTTTAATGCTTTTCTCGAAGAGGATTACATTCTTAATTTTATGATGTACCAAATCATCATAAGTAAATTACCGATATATTCTAATCAATTAAAATATTACCGTATCCTTTTTTAGAGGTCTATCGAGTTTAGAGCGAATCACAAACACATTTATGAAAGACTAGTACAAACGTAGGCACTTCTATTAACATGTGATGTATAGTCATGTAATTCATAATCTTATTTATTTTATTTAGAAATAACAACAATAGTTTTGACTGAGTTATAAGGACTACATAAACAGGATAAATCATACTGTACTGTAGTAGGTACTACAGTACAGTACTTTACTGCATTACAGTGCATAGTCATGCACAGTTGTATACGTAGTTACACCTTTTTCAAAAATGCACATTTTACATAATATTTAGGTAAATTCGTTGCGCTTGTTTCCACATCTAGAGTTTAACATCGCAACAAAATGATAATGTTATATTTGCATGCAGACTAGGCTTCGAAAGTTTACGTAATCTTGCCTTGCAACATCGATTCTTTCATCGACATCAAGCGTTTTCAAATCAAATCAAATCAAATCAAATTTATTCGCAAAAACATGTGTATACATACACACACACGCAGGTGCATGTATGTAGGATGATAAAAAAAATAGAACAGTTGCACTTAATACATGTTTACCACTTGTCATGGCATGCAAATTTTTTTGTAAGTAATAATCATATTATCAGCGTTAAACATTTATAAATGTCAAATAAAATTGTATGTAGGTAGGTATGTCAAAATTAAAATTATAGATACAGTTATGTCATAATTAAATTCGTACAATATGTCACACTCATAGTAAGAATCACATAACCAATGAAACAATCACAACCAATAAAATAATCATAATTTATAAAATAATAGCCATGTCTTACTTCAATCAAATAACTGTGTCATTTAAGAATTCGGTGACACTATAATAGACCTTCTGTAATAAAAAAAGTCTAAGCTTTCGCTTGATATGGTTGGCACCTAGTTCTCTCCATGATTTTGGCAATTTGTTAAATATTATAGGTGCCATGCAAAATACATTTCTGCGCATAAGCGCGGTCTTACAAGGATGAAGACAAAGTTTTGTGTAATCACGCCTGTTGCGCTGAGTTTTATCCTCAAGACGCGGAAATAAATGAGAATTATACAAAACAAATAAAACTATTTCGAGAATGTATAACGATGGCATTGTGAGAATCCTATACTGTTCAAAGTATGGCCTGCAACTATCAGTAACTTTAAGTGTAAACATTGATCTCAGACATCTTTTCTGTGCCCTAAAAATGGTTGCCCATTCCACTGAATTGCCCCAAAAAATGATCCCGTAACGGAGAATAGATTCAGCTAATCCGTAGTACGCAATTAATAACGTGTTTATATGTATTGTTTGAGACAATCTGTGTAAAGCATATGCTCTATTACTTAATTGTTTCGCAAGTTTTTCTATATGAGCTTTCCAGTTCAGATTTTGGTCTATTGTTAAACCCAAAAATTTTGTTGATGTTACTGATTCAATAGTATTATTCCTATATGTAATGTCCGAACTAATTGATGCATTCGGTCTTGTACTATAGTGCATGATAACAGTTTTACTCAGATTAATTTTTAGGTTATTATTGTTTAACCAGTCTATGGCATTAATTAAACTACTATTTATGTCATTGTTGTATTCTTCTCTTATTCTACATGGTATGGTTATAGTGCTATCATCCGCGAAAAGTGACATGGTATGTTCTATACTTTTCGGAAAGTCATTTATATATATCGTAAATAAAAGGGGGCCTAAAACACTTCCCTGTGGAACGCCATATGTCACTTGACGTTCATGTGATGTATATATTTCCTCTCGTTTAGTTTTACTATTGAGTCTACTGATTTCTGTAACTTGCCTTCTATTTGATAAATAAGATTTTAAAAGATTTTGTATGTTTCCTCGTACCCCATAATTTTCCATTTTTTTTTAGTAGGGTATTATGATGCACATAGTCAAAGGCTTGGGTCATATCACAGAAAATCGAACATACTGGATTTTTTTTATCCACATTGACCATCACTTTATAAAGAAAGTCATAGATCGCCATGTTTATACTTTTATTTGCCCTGAAACCTTTTTGTTCGTCACAAAATAACTTATGTTTTTCAAAATATGTATTTAACTCTTTGTATATGTATTTTTCAAATATTTTAGAAATAATTGGTATCAGCGAAATTGGTCTATAATTTTCCATTAGTTCCCTATTTTGTTTTTTAAATAATGGCTTTATTATAGATTTCTTTAAGGCGGCTGGAAATATACCTTTACTAATGCTTAGGTTTATTATATGACTTAAAGGTTGGCATACCTCGTATGATACTTCTTTAATAATCTTAGTATTAAAACCATCGCATCCTACGCTGTTAGTATTTTTCAAAGATTTAATAATTTTTACTATGTCTTGTGGCACACTCGGAGCCATAAACATTGAGTCCTTTTTACTTGTAATATATTTACAAATTCCAGTGCAATGCAAGTGGGATGGTTGGATTTTATCAACAAAATAGTTATTAAATAAGTTACTTATTTCGCTAGGATTTGTTATGCATTTATGTTCAAGACGGATTTTGTTTATGTTATGTTTAGGTATATTGAATTTTGTACTATTAATTATTTGCCAGGAAGTTTTTGTTTTGTTCAATGATGTTTTTATTTTATAAGTATTTTGTGCAAATTTTGTCTTATTAACAATTGTTCTGAACAGTTTAGAATATTTTTTTAACTCGTTTCTATTCTGAATGGTCGGTTTTACTCGGTACTTCCACAGCAGTGTTCGTTTCTTTTTACTACAAAGCTTTATCCCACGTGATATCCATTTCTGTTTTTTATGTACATTTATTGATACCAAAGACTCAGGAAAACATTGATTATAAAAGAACGAAAATATTTCACTGAAGGTATTGTATGCTTCATTGGGGTCATTGGATTGATAAATACCTGTGAAGTGTAGACTTTTAATATAGGACTTAAACTTTTTTAAATTATCTGCACTATAGTTTCTTTTAATTGTACGCCATCGATCAATAGAACAAGCTACATCCACTGGACATTTAAGGATTTGCGCCGTATGATCAGACAGTGCAAGCTCCAATACTGAAACCCTACAAGACTTTAAGTTATGGGCGAAATTATCAATACAAGTCTGACTCTTCAGACGAGTCGGCTGTTTTAACGCTAAAGTTAAGTTATAATTCAGTAATAGGCATTCAAAATCAATAGTTTGCTTGTTTTTCGCAAGTACATTAATATTAAAATCACCTGCAATAATCACATGTTTAAAAGATTTTTTATAAAAGATATTCACTAATGTCTCTAATTTTTCCATACAAACGTTAAAGTTATTTAACTTTGGCACCCTGTATACACACACTATGACGGTATTATGATTGATTAGTTCCACAGCACAACATTCAAATACACCGGTTGTGGATATCTGTGACACTTTTGTTATTTCCTTGCATTGGTGTCTCTTTTCTACGAGTATGCATGCACCACCTCTCTTACTTTCTTTGCGACTATAACATGCAGCTAGGTAGTAGTTAGGGACGTCGATATGATTAACGTGGTCCTCCACAACAAAGTGCTCAGTCAAGCAAAGGACATCTACTTTCGTATTTCGCTCTTTTAGTTCTTGTAGGCATACAGACAAGCTATCAGCTTTTGATAGTAATCCGGCAATATTTTGGTGCATTACATTTATATAGTTATTCACGAAAAAATGCGCAATCGATCACACCTTGACTCTCTTGGTTGTTTGAGCATTGATCATTCGAAGATGCTGTCAATTCTTCCGATATTCCTGTTATGAAGTCAATAACGTCTTTAAATATGATTGACATACCATAATTGTTAACTGTTCCATTAGTTTTGTGAAACATTTCACCCCATCGAAGATTTTTGTTGGTGTCCAGGAAGTATGCATACTCGTACTGCAGTACGTCCAAGTACAATTTATTATTGAAGTTCTGTACTCGCCAGTTATACATACTACCTATATGCGAGCCGCATTTGTATGTCGGTGCGCATATAATTATGTTTGTGAATTTCTGTCTTTGTAAAGTCTGTTTCAATTTTGATATAATATAAATGTATCTTTAGTTTGTATTAAAATCTTCTTCGCCTATCATTAATACACAGAAGTCGTTCATTGTCATTCCATGTAATTTAATTTCAATGTTTTTTATTAGTTGTTCAGTATTAGAGTTTGGTAACAAGTAGTGACATAATTTATATTTGTCAGGGAAGGTATTTTCGGCTATAGTTAATATTTTATTTTTCTTGTTACTGCTCACTATATGTATTGTATTTAATTTCTTGGTGAGCTTGTTTTGCGTTTGTGTTACGGGATAGGTCTTACGTAGATGATCAGTGGCTGTGTGCTTTGAGTTTGCGTCATCACAACTTTCGGTTAGAACTGGTGACATTGGATACATTGTGGTTTGTGTATTGGCACTTTTCATTTTTCCCTTTTTTGTTTTAGTTTGGACAGGTTTATTTGGAGTATTTTTCTTTCTGGGACTGCATGATATTGTATTGTAAAACTTATTCTTTCTTAGTAGTTCATCATTAGTTTGTTTGAGACTACTATTTTCTAAAGATAATGATTCAATTTCTAAGTGGGCACTTTTAAGTTCCTGCTCAAGGTTTTGAATTCGTTGTTTTAATTGTGTAATTTGTTCATTATCGGCGTCAACGGATAGGTCAGGCATACTTCCCATGCTATTATCGTCGTTGTGGGTACTCGTCGAAAACTGGCTACTATTTATTAAGTTCGATTCGGAATTTGTTCGCCTTCGTCGCAGTGTAATGTTTTCAAAGAAGCTCATCGTTGCTAGATAATATTTATTCAATGTTAGAAATCAAGAACACATGCGCCAAAAAGAATTTCATTTAGTGGGGCGCGAACCGGAGCGCACGGTATCGCCAGTCTAATGCACATTCACATCGGCCGAACGTGCTGTGTGTTAACTTGTGAAATTAAGGGTCTGTTTCTATTTTATTTCGTTTTGTATTAACATGACGTATTGCTGAGCCGATATTTAAAAAACAGCCGTTTGAAATTTTTCACATAACATTCTATTTAAAGGATTTTTCCACATATTTACATAGTCTTAAGTATAGTTAACAACTTTTTAGTATTTTGATTAAGTTTTTTCACACTACGTAGTCCTTTTAAGCACTTAAATATCTTCTTCACTTTGTTTCATTTTATCACGTACGAAAATTTATTTAATAGTTAAGTAACACTACTGATAACATTGTCACAGGATTTCCACACGGTAGACTTCACAATCATTACACAGTTTATGAATTTCAAACGATTAAACTATTTTTAAAGAAATAAACAAAAACTCATATAAAAATCCACAGTGTTTATGTTACAGCGCCCTCTGGCGTTGGAGTCACGTCCCAATTATAGCAACACGATTTAATATCTTCATTGTACGATAAATCCTACATTATCTTGAATTTTTGAAATACTTAATTATAAAATATAAGTTACTTCGCTATTATGATAATTTTGTCAATGAAGTTTAAATAGTTGAATGATTACTTGAGCATGTTGTATTTTTGGATACTTGTTTAACAGAAAAGGTGAAGGAGCAGGCTATTTTGAAGAAAATTCTTAATCGTTACCCTCTCAATGAAGAGATGTCAGCCAAAGTATGCCAGATAGCAAGGAATGCTTACCGCGACTATTGGTATAGGAAGAATTTGATGCAGAAGGTAAACGAAGTCTATGCATAGAAGTGTTTCGATTTGTACTTACTACTAGATACATAGATAAGTTATACATATCAGGTTATACATGTCAATAGCTTTTTTATGGGATAAGCCGGTAAACGAGCAGACGACGATGATCCGTCCTGATGGTATGCAATCGACGCCGCCCGAAACACCAGAGGCGTTTCTAGTATGTTGCCGGCCTTTTGGGGATTAAGAATTTGATAATCTTGGAGAATTGGAGATCCGAGGATTGCAGAGATTGGGGAGGGAGGGGGGATAATTGGGCTTCCTGTAACCTCACTCACAGGGCAAGCGTAGTTTCACGTCGGTTTTCTGTAAAGCCGTGGTATCACTGTCAAATATCTTTTAGTAACTTATTGCTTTTAATCCACGCCGAAGTATAGCGTTGGGTACTTAATAATTCATAAAATATTTCTGTTTCATCACCAGGGCCTTAAGACGACGCCAGAAGAAGCGTGGGAGAAGGCAGCTCAGCACACTCTGGAACTTTACAAGAAGACGAAGCCGTCTATTAGCGAACTTCATCGAGCCACGGCGAAGATTCAGGTACGCTTAAAATAACACTATCAAAAAAATCAAATTATGATATACATACTTGCAAGAAAGATGATATAACAAACAGTATTGATTTTATGTATGAAACATTTTACTAATATTCTGATCAACAGTTTACATACTTTCTTCTATATTACTGAAGGCGCCGCATTGAATAAACTAAAAATTGTGTTCTGTTTAATTTTTAGGCTGCTTACAGAGGGTACCATGTACGTAGGAATGTGCTGAAACATCTCATGCCTAATAAAAAGAAGAAGAAGAAGACTCGCAGGGTGGAGATGCCAGGTCCACCGCTAGATGTCGCTAGCTCCAGGGAAATAGATCTAGGACCTGTCGTAGTAAGCTAATAAACTTATTTATGAGCATATGAATAAGTGTATTCGGTGATTTAGAAGAATCGAGATAAAATTTTCACGAGTAAAAAGTATTTAGTCAATCAAAATTGTTTTAGAATATTAAAATCAAAGAAGATGATGTCACTGGAATGTTTGAAGATGAAAAAGGTCAGAAACTTGGTCTTCAATATGACCCTATGAAGACCATAACCCATGCTGACGATGATGAGTTTCTAAAGACTCAGAAAGCTAGAATTAAAGAGCAATCGTTTGCCGTTTTGGAAATGACATTGTCGAAGCCGAGTGTTACTGCTACTGAGGGTTCGTAATCATTACTACTCTTATAAAATGAAGGAGATCTGGACAAATATTTTAAATAAAGAAAATATACCCTCATCCAAAGCAAAGTGCGAGTAATGACTAAAACAAATTTGTATCGTTGTGAATAGTACATTATAAAAAAAGGTTTTAACTTAAGGTTAAGTTACGATTAGAACATACGTTTAAAATATTATTTCGCAATTACAGATTATTCAATAATGTCCGACATGGAAAAAACAAAAGCTACTCCAATTCCTGGCCCGATGAGCAGCCAAAGGATTTCATTTGCTGAGGTCAGTTATCAAAAATGTTCAAAACGTCGCGTCTGATAAAATATCGTAAATTTTTACGCTATAGTTGATTCTATCATCATCATTTACTACCTAGGCTCCTCCGCTGATCATTAAGACACCTGAAGAGGAAGATATTGAAGTACCTGAGAATATTACTGGGATAGATTCCCAAATACCTGAACCACCAGTAGCTTTCGAAATACCCGAAGAACTGGCAGGCAAGTTTTGTCATAGTTATATCATTATTGTTAGCATAATGAGAAAATTCTTTAGAAATATTGTCATTAGGTCATTATTTAGGGCGTTATAAATAAATTATTGAATAGTTATTCGCAATGCTCTAAACGCGTGATTTTGTAGATTTGTATCGATTAAATCAAAGGGTTTAAGATAGTACATGGGATTTGAGTCTGCGAAACCCAAGGTTGGGCTACCATAAGTTTTGTTGAATAAAATATTGTATAAAAACTTCAGGAAGTTCCTTTACCTTCCTTCCCCTCATCTCTCATCTTAGTTATGGGCATCTGAATTGTTTTACAAACACCATAAAGAAAGAGTTTTAACTGATAGTTACTTTGTAACTAAATTACATTGCAGTTTGTAACTAGATGGAAAATAACAATATTGTCAATATCAATAGTGATCGTGAGAAAATAAGATAAAAACAAGGAAGTAAACTTGTAAGTTAATGATAAGATAGAAACAGATACGAAATCTAAGCCTATTACACTGAACAATGATGAAGACAATGTAATGAAGACTTTGGTGTCTAAGTTTATTAATAAGATAGGTAATACATGTGTACACCTTTTGTCGTGTTTATGACATATCTAAATTACATTTCTATCTAGAAAATAAAATGCTCAAACATTTTCGTGAATCTACAAACCTCTTTATTATCATCATCATCATCATCTCCATCATTACCTTTCATTATAGTTGGAACTCAGCCTAGTCCCTCAGATCTTTTAGTCTTACGGCCAAAGTTAATTAACCGGTGTCTCTATTCTAATTTGACCTTTTCTCTTTCAGGAGAAACAGTTACATCAGCTCGCACCATCGACGATGACAACGAATGATTATCACCTTTATACTTAGCAGTAAAGCGTATAATATTGTTTACAAAATTTTGTGTCAGTGTCTGTGTCTGTGGTGTCAACTGTTTATACAAAACCTTTGGTTGTTTTAGAAATGAAAATTGAATTTTCAAGTGCATGAAACAATAGATTTGTTTTTACTTTAGTGTCATGACTCATGACTCACTAGAATTATGTTTGTCTTATGTTTGGCATTGTCATTTATTTCAATAAACTGATTATAAATACAAGAATGGATGATTTAGTGTTCCCACAAATTAAGGATAGCTGCAAGATTGCTCTCCCTAATGGTTTGAGAGAACTTATGAGTGATATTTCTAGAGAGGTATAATCCAAAACCATTTTTCTTATTACTAGTTTTTTAGGTCTACTTTAATCCGTGACCAAATTGACAATCAAGGAATTTCATTTTCTGAAGTCGTCTAACAAACGATAATTTGGTAATAATATACAAATCAATATTTTAAGTCAAGTCAGGCATAAAATTGCCTCGAACTGTAGCTGTAGCAGACCAACGACAGTATTTAGCTATGTAATAGTATGAAAAAATAAAACTGTTTGTAAAGTAGATATTCATTATCTTTAGGTCCTAAGGTACCAACCAAGAGACCTCTACAAGTTCATAACCGACTACCTGGCAGCAATGTTAGTAACGCGAGACAACTTATCCGTTGCTGGACAGATTTGCGAAGACTTATCAAATTGTAGATGTGAACTAGAATTGGAAACTGAACTGAAACGAATAGGCGTGCCCGAGTCGGATATAGAAACTGCAATAAAAATCATTGTCAAATATTTTGCCAAAGACCAAGGTAAGTTGCCTCTTATGTAGGATAACGAGGAAATAAAAGATTACCTCGCGTTGCTTAAACAGTCTGCTGAATAAGGCAATTTCGGGTTGATGCTAGAGTTGGGCCTTAAAACTTAACTGAGACTTCAACAACTGGGACATTTTGGATACCTCCATGAACAATTCGATGTCGTAGTATTTAATCTGGATATTTACTCATTTTGAATTTAGACCTATGTGTTAAATAACATCTCTACGTATCTATTTTTCATTGAACTATCGGTAGTAACAATTTTTACTGCGAGCCGTTGCTTAAGTTATGTTATTAAAAACTAGGAACTTTTAATTTTGTACCTTTACTAAGAAAAAATACTGTTTAAAATACAATTAACCTTAAACCCTGACAGTTAAAGAGTCCAGCCTCCTCAAGAGACTAGTGAAGAAGACCAGTATAGACGAGGATATGATACCAGCAGTTCAGGAAGCCATCCGCAACGCGTTCATGAGGCGTCAGGCGCAAAAGTCTACTATTTTAGAGGTAAGGACACCTAGTCATATTTGTCTGACTTTAAAAGAGACGAGTTTGAGTTTGTTTCGGCATTTCTTCTCAGAGTAGTCGTACGTTTGCTTGATAAAATTGACGTGTAAAAGTGCTGCCTTGTAGCCTATTTTCAGAAATAAATTCACTTGTTTCATTTGTTACTTAATGGTAACGTAACATTGCTAAGCATATTAAGATTAATCTATTCTCATATTAATATAGACATAGAATTGATACGTTTTGTTTAGAACTATATGCCAAAATTATATTTTTAGTAAACAAATCTCTTGTCAGCCAGTCTCCACCTATCTATATATCTAGATAGCTATACTATACCTATAGATGTGTACCTACTCTGGTAGATTCACATTTTCTGCCGGTAATATTCTTAGTCTGTAGGGAACAGAGTGACAAGTTCCCTGATATCGGAAAAGGTGGATCCTCCGACCAGGCGAGGTGATCGTGCCTGGCAAGCTTTCTGCCCAACAGTTGGTTGGGATTTTCTACTCGTGTTAATTCGATTGTAAACTTCGCATGTACGATGTAGGATTTTATGACGTCATCCGATGACATGTGGCAAGTCTATTGCCAAATATTGAGAACAATTGCATAAACCGTATTAATTATTCGCTATCAGTAATAATAGGATGTCTTGCATTATACTTGGTTTAGCACAAACAAGTATCTTTTTGAAAGCAGTAACTGCCATACTTTATTAAATTGCAACAATCGACATGTATATAAGAAGAAACACTATAATTTAATCTATATATATAAATAAAAATGAATTTTCGTTCAGTCGCGCTAAAATTCAAGAACGGCTGAACCGATTTGGCTAACTCCGGTCTTGAAAATGTTCCTAGAAGTCCAGGGAAGGTTTAAAAGGTGAGGAAGAAATTGTGGGCTGTACGAAGTTTGCGCGATGGGCTAGTTAGTTACAAGTATAAATCACTAAAAACTAAAATATTTACACCTTAAAATTACCTGAATAAAATTACTACCTTTTTTTTAAAGGGGGGAAAATCATCGAGTGTCTGCTCCCGCCTGGGTAAGGCGGGAGGGAGTGTCAGACTCTTACTGACTAAAAACCACCCCGTTCCTTCTCCTGCACGTCGAGCCGGAGCCCCCGGAACCCGTTAAGTTCTCCGCGACAAAATTACTAGCTTAAGGCATCAAAAAAGTTATCCTCATCCTCGTTGTCATGAGGTAGGGTGCGTAAATAAATAACGTCTGAAAACGACACTTTGTGTTATTCAAAAATTGTTTCGGATACAATTTCACATACATCATGTGTATATGAAATTGTATGTTTGTCATCCACTCACAACACAAGAGGTATTGTGAGTGGCTGATAAACTTATCTTAAAAATCCTAGTGTTGGCCAACGTTTAAAAAAATTACACACTGTTATTATTTCTTATCATTTCCAGTCATCATCAGAATCAGAGGCTGACAGTGTGAAGTGCGCTGCTAAGCATACGTTGGACCTGTACAGACAGGCAGCATCAGCTAATGAAATTAAGTACGAGATAATGGCTCGGAAAATTCAGGTAAGAACATGAGAATGCTTGGGAAGGGTGTATCAAACTCTGTTCGTCACCTCTTTCTGACCTTAGGGGATCCTTCTCTCGTTTATACAACGAGTTGCAGTTGTTTATAAATATTATATTTTGGTAAGTGGTTCAAATTGGGGTCTTGTTTAAATTTGTATCCCGATTTTTAGTAGAACATTATTGCCCTGTTTTTGCCGTCGTTAAGTTACATTTTTTTCTTCTTTCTTTGTCTACAGACTACCTACAGAGCCTACGGTGTGAGACGAGACTGTAAATTGGGAAAGCGCAAAGAAACGAAACCTGCCGACAAGGTGGTCACCCTGGTAGACCCTAAAGTTGTACCTCCTCCCAATCCTTATGAATCAGTCTATCCACCGCCAACTTTATCTGAAGAAGCACTATCTAAGAGTTCTACAAACTGGACCGAGGTAAAAAAATCTTGATTTATGATTTTAGTCCTTGATTCCCATTTAGCAAGTATTACTTTAGTATATTCATAAATAATTTTTTTCATCTTGTTGTTTTTTACCAGGATCCAGACGTAGAATTGACCACGGCTATGTATGAGAGACGTAAGTCCAAATAGTTTATTTAATCTTATAAATTTTCATTGCCCGTATTCGATATACCTTTGTTTTAAAGTTTTTATAATCAGCTCCACGTAAATTCAGTAGAAACACCTCTTTTGTATTTGACAATATAAAAATATTCGTAACTTGTTGGTTCTACAGGTTTGATGACAGTATCTTCAACATCCGTAGCTGGATCATTCATGACGTTGCCGTCACACCGACCGTATTCCGTCCATGATGACATTCTATCAGATTTAGTGGAAACACCAGAAAGGGAACATGCTTGCATAGACTATACTGCTCCTAACCCACATTTATCCATAATATCCGAAAATAAACCATTCTATACACCAGGTGAAGCGGAAAATAAGTACTCAAAAGATATGGAGGAGTATGAAACGTCGAATAATTGTATACTCTATTATAATGATTCTAAGGTATCTATTGGAAATGTATCGTCAGAAGAGAATTTATTCTATCGACCTGATGATATGAAGGCTGATGACAGTTACGATGGTGACAATGAAATAGGACACAGTGATGGTAATGAGGAGAAAAAAGTTGGAGGTACTGTCAAGCACTAGAAATTATAGATGATCGGCGAAGAAATTTACCAATAGAATAATATGGTGTTTATTGTAATTGTAATAGTTTTAATTTAGATTACATTTGCTTGCTTATATTTTAACAGAGATGCCAAAATTGGGAAGGTTTTTGAAGGATATGATTTCGTAATGTATAGAAGTTTTTTCTGTTTTACTAGAATCAGATCTGCACAACTTTTTAAAGAAAAATATCTTTTAAAATTCTGTATGGCCGAAGATGTAGTTTGTTGATAAATTCAAAAGTTTTGCATGTACTGTACAGGTATCTAAAATAAAAAACATAGCAATATTATTACAATAAAATTTATTTACTCTCAATAAAGACCTTAATATCGATTGTAGGACGTATACAATGTAATATATAATTTTTTTGGTCAATAATATAGTTAATACAATACATAATCTAAAATATTATCTAAAACTTATAAACTATTAACGTGTGGGATAAAACAGTGCACTTTAACTAATTATGTAAATGCTTTGACTTTTATTTAACAAAAAAAATATACTTCTAAGGCCTCCACTTCAATGGATACTGAAGAAAAACAAAAAAAATCAAAATATCTATCGTTCAAAGTGACATTGAAGTTGAAAAAATTATATAGTGTGAAATTAAAAACTGTATGGAGACCACACGGAAAAATAAAACATTTGAATCTCAAATTAACAACTATATTCAACAATAAATAAATACGATACAAAACAAAAATGAAATTAACAATATAATATTTCAATACCGCCTGATAATTACGTCATTTACTATTTTTAAAAGTAGCACAGAGTATTTTTATTTCATTATTGCTAGTGCACAAAATAACAATGCAAAACAAAAAGAAATGGCAACACAAACAATGTCAAGCTTAACCAGAGTTGCCATTAGATAATACTGTTATGCATAGTTAAAATTGTTATTTTACTATAAAGATTTTCTCTAATCCACTAAAATATATTATGGTAATATTAGTATTAGTATAAAACTAAGAGTTTAGTAGAAATCACAGCAAAATTCAATAAACGACGCTTACATACATTTTTATTAATTGTGATTGAAATTATGCTTACAACATTACCTAGGAAAACCGAAATATCGATAGACTAGTGGAATGATTCCCTAAAAATAAATAAAAATTAAATTGTTCGAACAAAAAATAAAACTTAAAAATAATCTTATGTACAAGTTTCGTTAAAATTTAAAATTATGCGAAATTGTCATGAGGATGACGTTAATGGTATAAATCTTATAAATCCACAGATTAAACACGAAAATAATGATATTAAAAAAATAATAATTTCTCATTTAATTCATTACTTTTTATTTGAGCGATCAATTTTCTAGAGATCTTGTGACTTATACTTTGGTATGTTCCAAATAGTTTATTTTTAAACTAAGGCTGGCTATACACTAGGTTTGAGATACATATGCCAGCGTTGTCATGGGTACGAATAAAGTTCTTACGTCTGGGGAAGCCCGTGGTTTCAGATGGTGTCTACACCACCGCCTAGCATTTTGTTGCCGTATTCACTTAGCACCTGAAAGCAGTGAAACACTCGTTTAAAAACAAATTATATCATTAGTCCATGATAAAACAATAATGTATAACGAATCAAGATGGGTAAAATTCAGGCCAGCTGTTCAGAATTCTGAATTAGAAGAGTCAGTCTTTCTACCATGGGACACATTTTCATCTAATTGCAGTAACAGCTAAGAGCCACGTAATAGCATTACTAGGAAGAATATATATTTATAAGGAAGAGAAGTAATAACCTTGTAGACGAAGATATAGTGGTGCCTGTTGGAGAGTGAGTGCGGTCGCTGCGCGCGCAGAGAGCGCACGACGCGCGGCACGTCGGCCGCCGCCGGCAGCGCGCGCGCGCACACGTCCAGCGCCATCAGCGCTGCCGACCTGCCCGCACCCGACGCGCATGTCACCACGCACGGCCGGATACCTGAAGATAGAATATCTAGTTTAGTCTTTAGGAAACCATAGATTTTTTTTAGGAACTTAACCCCATTATCATGTTAAATGTAATGGCTGAATCATATTTTTTATACATCGCCGTATATAACGACATCACGAGACGTCTGCTATCGAACAAAAGAGGGAGGCCCCTCAGCTCACCATACCGAACATTGCACGACAATGTCGTAGGTCCACTTGATGGGAGATTTTCCAATCTTTATATTCATCTTTTTCAATTCCAATCTTTGGAAAATTGTTCGATTGGCGTTGGATCATATCTACTCTCTTTTAAATTTAAACTAGAACACGCTTCAAAATTACCTTCAACTTCAGAAGCTGCCTTCATCCTTCCAAGAGTGCCATTGGTAGGGGCAACTCTTCTCAACTGCTCCTCAGCACGAGCTGGTGAGTACACGTTCACACCATTACCGGAGCCACCCTCATCACTCCGCAGCTTCGATAGATTACTGAAGGAAGACCGGTTCTGATCACCGTATATTACTTCCACTCCTGAAATAACAGAAAGCAAAGATGATGGTAGGTAATTCACCAGACAAAAAACCACAGAGCAACAGGATTTATACTCAATCGTAAATCTTTAACAATATGCTTCTTCTTTATTTGAGCTACAGAGAATAAAAAACCATGACAAATCAAATAGTACAGTCCTAAAATGACTAACGTATATATATATTGTTTCTATATATACCGATACAACATAATAAATCAGTGAGAGCAATTACTGCTACGCAGTGATTAACATATAGAAAGGAATCGTCAACAGTTTTATTGTAAACACAATTAAACGTTCTAAATCTAATTGAATCTTTTCTCTTCGCGCTCCAACCTCAACAACATCTCTGCAAGTATATGCACCTTACAACAACATTAATTTTTTTATGATACATCTAATATTTTATGGTTTTACCTTCTTCATCATACTCCTTAGCAGTTTGCGCGATCTTCATGTAACTTCTCATTTCGCATAGGAAGTCTATGACAGAGTCGTAGTCATCAGGGACACCCTTAGCAGGCCAGAAGTACCAGAGGTGTGTGATCTCCCTCCAGGTCCTGGTCTCCAGGTTGATGAGCTGGACGCTGGATATCGCGTACTTGTCACGTTGTTCGCGCTTCTTCAGGATAATTTTGAAGTTCCCGAAGATACGCTTGTTGTCCGATATTTCGGACGGTGGAAGGTACTCGTAGCACTTTTCCTGCAAACGGCGAAATTATTGTGTTTACATTTTACCAAACTATTTTAAGTACATAATGACTGTTATGCTCTGTTTTATATGCTTTTTGACCGACTTAATTTCTACATATGATAGTATATTGATACTCTCAACACAATTTTTGGATTTTTTTTGTACTTGATCGGTCGACGTTTAACCACCATCTTGCCTGGTGGTAAGCGATGATGTGGCCGACGATGGAGATATGAGCAATCTTGGGACTTGAAGACACCCAAGTTATATTTGTCGGGAAACACAAATTCCGGTAAGGAATAAGGTACTATAGTGTACCTAATAATTGTTGCGTGTGTGTATTTCAAATTAACAATATGAAAAATACTCACAACTCCATTCTCCATGTACTCAGTGAGCATGACGATGAGTCTCGAGTTTTGTTCCCATATCATGCGCCAGAAATCTACGACAGTGTTAGAGAGCGGCGCCTGAGTTGCTATGTAGTAGTTGCGAATGTTGCCTGGACCCTGAAATTATATGAAAACAAATCGTTAGTCAAAAGTTTTACATTAACTACCTCGTAGCTTATGGCAGCAAGCATGATTGCTAAGCAAGAGACCTTTAAATCATTAAATGGCTTGTCGATTTTAAAGAAATATCCCAGAATCTAGAATGGTACTTGGTTGGCCTGGTGTATAGCAATAAGCTCACACTGTATTAGATAAAACTCCTAGTATATCTGTCAAAAAGTGGTAACAAGTAACAACTCATATGAGATGCGTGCAAAGAAAGAGTTCTTTGAGAAATATAAGGTAAGTCGATTATGTGTCATTTTCTATGACAAGTTCATAGGAATGTGAGCTTATTATTTAGAACCTAGCATTAGACATGCTTAATGAATCTATGACTAATCGTTGGAAAGCCTCGAGAACAATTGATTTAGTTGTTATGAACTTTGTCTTCTAGTTATGCGTAGGAGCATGGATTACTAATGTCACAATTGAAGTAGGTACATAGCGCCACGCTTTTTAATTTCTGATAAAATAGTTGGAAGTGAATTCATACAATATAACTTTCCAGAATCCGTGCAATAAGTTTGGTCATACATACGTAATGGAACATATATAAATGTTATAATCCAGTTCATCTTCCAAATAAATTTCTTTGCTTAACTTTCTATTACATAGAACTTACCGTTACAAAATTGGCATTAATGTACTCTGTAGTAGGGTCATTGCCGAGCCTTTTCAGAGGAACCCTGGTCTCTGGTAGTGGGAGGACATTGGAGTATCGGTTCTTGTCCTCACAACCTGGAGGCACCTCATCAGGCCTGACAGTCACTGAGGGAATCTCTGAAAACTCTGCCGTCATGGATTCTATGTCCATCGCAAAATTTGCTAGAGCTGCGTACTGCATTGGATGGGAGGTGACCTGGAAGTAGAACGAAGAAGGATAATTGTAAATAATGAAGTAAAAGGCTTTAGTCCGAAAATCTATACAGATAAATAAAATTGGAATGTCTGTTTGCAATATTGAACTAACCGCATTTTACTATATGCATATGAATGTACATACGACATATACTAAAACAATACTTTTTAATATTTTTCTCTGCCTGTCTATCTGTTTGTACTGGCTAATCTCTGAAATGGCAGACCTGATTTTGACGGTACTTTTATTGGTATGTACCTAATGTATGTACAAAGAGGTTACACAGGGTATTTAAATTTTAGAAAAACGCATACGAAGTTCGGTTTCAGCTAGTCGTACATATAAGTTCAGGTTAGACATGAATCCTACCTCGTCATCATAAGCAGGGTTCCCGTAGCTCCTCTTACTGGCCCGGAGACGGTGGTTACCCTTCCTGTGGCCGACGCTGACGCTGTCCAGGCTGTAAGCGTCCAGGGAGACTGGAGTACAGCGCTGGGCATAAATACCACGACGACCACGACGACGAACCACCAGCTGAAATTAATAAAATACGACCATAAATAGATAAAGAACTGCAGACCGCAATAGAAATGAGTTTTTTAAAGCTCGTTATTTTGCTAAGGGTTAGCGTCGGTTTCACTACCTCCATAAGTAGGTTACGTTCTTAATTCAAATTTATCTGGTAGATAACAGCTATCCAGATATTGTGAAACAGGACCTTAATATTTAGTAAATGCGATTTTTGTGAAGTAATTTTTATTAAGATTTGTATGAATGATGTGAAAAGTAACTAATAAGAAATTCGAAAAAGTAATTGCCACCATTTTGCAGCTTCTGAACTACTGCGATGCCGTAGCAGCGCGCTCAACTGATGAGCGTATTGTAATGGCGTATGCATCAGTTAAATCTTCAAAACTATGACTTGTATCTAATAGACATGTAGCGACATCTATTAGAAAAACCGTACACACTTAAAACTAATCTTAAGACGAATGTCGTGGATCAAAGTAAAACGTGGAGGCAGTGCACGTTTTAAAATTAAAGTAGGTATACAAAAGGCGAAAAGATATATGTATAGGTACATACGTAATTATTGCTACTAAGAATTATCCGAATTCAAAATTAGAACAAATAAATTATATTGGATAGGTATCACAAATAAGGCAAAGTAAACCGTATTAACATTGAAACAGAACCTCTAAAACTAACTCTAACTTACGAAACAGAACTCAATTTAGATCATCATGACATGACATGACATCACGCCTTTTATCCCTGGGGTAAGCAGAGGTGAACACAGAAGTAAGACCCACTTTTCACTATTTATGTTATGAGTCCCATGTAATAGAGGGTGAGCCTATTGCCATATACCGGGCACAATTCCAGACTCCGTGCTACTACTGAAATTCTGATCATCATCAACACGCCAAAGACTTTCATTCATATATAATAATTATAGTACCTAATCTGAATACAGTACAGAATAAATCTTTATCCTAACACTGGACTATAAACAATTTGTTATCGACAGGACGTCGGGTTTTGTTTCAAAGCTGGGCTCTCTGACCTGTCATCACATTTAACAGACAGACGTCTCATTCATAGCCATTGATAACTATACTATGTATGCTTTATAACATATGTACCTACAACCTTTGTTATGTACAAAGACTGTAGGTATGTTATATTTGTCATTTGGCAAAAATAACCTAACGGTTTTTTTAAGGAGTGAAAATCATCAAATTTCTCCTCCAGCCTCGGGTGAAGTGAGGGGAGTGTCAGACTTTTAATAAGTAAAAGCCACCCCGTTCCCACTCCTGCTTCGGAACCCTTGCGATTCTCTGCAGCTCCGGTAAAAACAACGATTGTAATTTATAAATTATGTGATCAATATGAAGTTACGTAAAACTCGAAATATAATTTCTTGTATTGTTAATTAACCTCTTTTCTACCTAAATTATAACCGATTTCATCATCCACTTTCCTTTTATCTTTCAAAATACTTACTTTACTTAACTCTCTTAAGTCTAAGCATGTATGGCTATGTATGTGTGTACGGCTTAGGATAAAACCTATTTCGCCTATAGAACATAAAATCTCAACAACGGCGCCGGCACAGCGAGCACAAATTCCACCGGTAAAACGAGTAACAATACTTTTAAGAATCTAAAAGTTCACGCACTTGCATCGAGAGCAATGTATGGGAAGGCAATAAAATAAAGGAAATATGAAGAAGAAGAAGTTACTTTAAAACTTTGCGATGATAATTTAGGCTACATTACCAATTATGTGATCAATAACAATCATTATTAAAAGACGGATCACCTGATGGTAAGCAATCGGTGCCGCCCATGGACTGATGTGTCCGTGTGAGGAATTACTGGTCCGTTAAAGAAAGCTTGCAGTAAATGCCAATAAAATATATATATATAAATCTGACAAATGGTATAATGACACTTAAGAATACACTCTAAGAATAACACTCAGAGTTATGTGAATCTATAGAAGTTAAGTATAACCCAATCTCGTTAGAAAAGGGGCATGAGATATTATTCAAAGTCAAAGTCAAAGCATTTATTTCAATTAAACCATATTTTGGTACTATTAAAACGTCAACAAATACAAAATAAATAATAGTCTTTCAGTCAGTCCGTCAGTGAAGCTAGGTGTTCATTCCAAAATATAGACTCGAATGGAAAAGAACTAGCAAGAAACTCCATTCGTTACTATTTAAAAAAAATATATGTTCTATAATGTCTCTGAAACATATTCCAATACTGTACGCATATGTGAGAACAATCCAAAATTGCCTTAAAAACCCAAATCAGAACAGAGCAATTTAAAACAGCCAAGCGAATTGCTTAAAAATTTAAAGTGCTTACAGCATCTGATAAGGTTTCTATGAAGTAATAATCAGAAATTGCCACTCATAGCAAAAGGTACGCGACGTGTTAAAACGTGGCCATTTCAAGGGCCCGCTCCAGTCCACTTGAGACCTTAATTTATGAGGCCCTGGGACTGCTCATGTCCATTGACACACGTGGTTGTGATACGATACGGGACTAATTTAGATGTGTATTCCATAATAATGTTTGCAGTGAAGCTATTATGTGAATTATAAGTCGTTTCATTTTGAAAGAATCTTTTTCCTGGTAAATTAATATTGATATTAAAACTAACGTTAATGTTAATGTTTATTTTTTTTATTTGCGGGTTTACGAGATTTTTTGTTTAGAATTTATAGTCAGTCCGAAACTTAGTAGAGAGTGAGCATAGAACTAACTGATTATAGGGCAAAATGTATTTCATTATCTTAAGCAATTCTAAAGAAATAAAATCCCAAAATGGTACAAGGCGGTGTATTTACATCGCGGCATTACATTGTTCAAGGGTAACATTTTCTATTAAAGTCGTATTAATGTGTGAATGGAGTCGCACACCAAAGGTCCATCATCGGGCTGGCTTTGTTTATAATTTGCATTGTAAAAACATCCTCCGCGCCGCTATACTGGCGACACCTACAGCTTACTATGAACATAGCTTATATTGGTATAGCCACTAGTAAGTACTGTCTAATTATATTCCTGTATATCATAATAATTAATTTAGTATACCTACATACATACATAACTTCACGCCTGTCTCCCATGGGGGTAGGCAGAGACTAGGGAACGCCAATTACTACGATTCTTACATACCTCTTTCGCTTTTAACAGTCATCTTTTCATGCATTTACGTCGGTTAAGGATACTTTTAATTTGGCCCTTCTTTAATATATCGCCTCTGTCCTCTTACATTGCTTTAATTCACTCTCATTAAAATGTACTAAATGTGTATGGTTTGTCAATACAAACCCATAATGCAGTAGGAAGAAAATTATTTATGCAAAATGAAATGTAGGCTAAAATTAACGTGCCTTTGTGTCAACCCTGAACATTGAATAAACTGCAAATAATATACACTTTCTTATAGCCGTGCATGGTTCAACTTGCAATATCCCGGTGACTATAAGCCCTGCGCGCGAGTCGCGACTCGTACGCAGTGACGTATCACCCGCCGACGTGTGCGCAACCGACCTCGTATGCCAGTACCTTATTCCTTTTTCAAGTTTCAAATTTAAAAATAGAAATAAGTAATTAATTTTAATGCTCCAATAAATGATGTCGGTTGCGTAACTGTCAATTATTTAAGTAATTATTTTATTAGTGCATCAAGTTCTATTTTTGGCTGAATTTTTGGTGAGTTTTTTTAATTTTATTTTTTGCATTTCAGGTTTTGATTTTTACCCTAGGCTTTTGCGATATTAGGGTCCTAGTATGGTACTTGTATCACTTAATTTTAGTTTGTTTTTTTCTTTATTTATTCGATTTTACAGACTCTTAAATATTTCCGCATTCATGTTTTGCAAAACTCTGATTTTTTTTGGAAAATGAATATAATTCCTTTCGGAATTTATGAAACAATATTTGAGTTTAAAATCACAAATAACCATTAATTTACTCAAAGAAAATATTTATTTTTCTCAGGCTGACCTTTTTTGAAATTATACTCTCAAATTAGATTCCATGCTTTCAAATGGTGATTAGGTAACTGTGTCTACACAGTAAATATTGTTAAATATCTACTTACTTTATTATTGTGAATTAGTTTCATTTATTACTTTGTTGTACAAAGTTATCAGTCCATTTCAGAGCATGTAAAACATAGTAGCGTGTTTCTCTAATGTAGATAGCGATGCTATAGAGGTACATAACCGTCACTATTTCCTAAAATCGAATGGAAATGTAAGACCTCATTGTGTGGTTAAGAAATTTATTATTAAGAAGAGAAAATTAATTGTTTTTAGTTGATTGTAATGGGTTTCAATCCCCAGCTTCTGGTGTGGTTTTTTCAGAACTTATTAAATTATTTTAGTTAACCAAGATGTATTTAAGATTATATAAGAAGCCTGCAGCCTACCTATAGCTTATAATACCTTAATTTTTTTACCAAATTATAATATTTTCGTAACAATGTCTATAGTCCAGCTTAATCTACCAGTTATGTTGTTCTATACCATATTTTTAAAATAAATAACTTTGTTTACAAATAATCTTAGGTATACTATTATATAAAGCGGGAAAGTTTGTTTGTTTGAACGCGCTAATCTCCGTAACTTCAAGTCTGATTTGAATAATTCTTTTTGTGTTGGATAGTGCATTTATCGAGGATGGCTATAGGCTATAAAACATCACGCTACGACCAATAGGAGCTGAGCAGAGTGTGTAAAACCCCACGGACGTAGCTAGTTTATTATAGATCTGCAACGGAATAGCAGTAGTATGAAGACAGTCTGACTTGAATTAAGAGACATATTTTGTCAAATAATATTTTCTTTTACCTGGCTTGTTCTCTCTATACTATACTCTATGCTCTATGTATTTCGGTACATTTTATTTGTTCACGCAGCAAATGAGTGAAAAATCTCAAAATGCTTTGAACTCAGGTTTGAAGGTCTCCATACTCCATCTGCATCACTAACTTCTTTCAGGTACGTCATACCCTTTTTTTTTCAATTATTTATACACAATCTAAGTAAGCATTTATTTTAGTACAATCTTTGGTTCTAGAATTACATTTAAAATTATTAAATAATGGCCGAAAGTAGATCCCATATATTTGTTATATGTAGTTAGCTTTCAGTCTTATGCATGTTCCTGTATAGTTTTTATAAATAGAAATCTTCTTGCGACTGCCGGGCAAGGGGTCTCGGGTTCGATTCCCGGGTCGGGCAAGGTATTACTGGGGTTTATAAAAATTTTCAGTAGTAGCACGGAGTCTGGAATTGTGCCCTGTATATGGCAATAGACTCGTCCCCTATTACATGGGACTCATAAAATAAGTAGTGGAAAGTGGGTGTTACATTCTACAGTGGTTTAAACTTCACCTCTGCCTACCCCTTCGGGGATAAAAGGCGTGATGTTTTGTTATGTAATTTTCTTTTCTTAATCGTTAAAAGTAACAACCATTTTTTGTACGAACTCAAGCACTACGATAGTATGTAACTTTATAAAACTCAATCCGTTGTACTTAAAACATAAATTACAAATAATTTGACGCATACATGGGCGTTAATTAAATAGAGTTCATTGATATTTTTCATAGCAACGGAAATTATTAAGTTACATTTGAGTACGTAGTTATATTCTTATAAATTTAGTTAAGTTCCTACATTATGGATGATAAAAATAAAATGTAGTAACTAACTCAACTAAACTCATAAGAATTGTACGTACTGTTCATTGTGTAATAAAAAACATAAGCAGTTCATTCACTTCATTGTAATTTTGAATTCTATCCTTCATGTAAATCAAGGAGACAAAATCGAAAGTACCAGGAGCGCATAAGTAAAGAAGCGTTCACGAAACTTGTGACCGACATATCTAACGGCCGTCCAAGTATGCCAATTCTCGTTACAAACGATAACCGTATCTCGGTGTCGGGTGACCACATTAGACCGCTTCGTGTTGCAAACCAAGGAATTTTTATCGCCAGACGCGACGAACGAGACCAACTTCCGATGAGATATTAGGATTATCTACAGGTATTTAACCGTTGGTGGTACACTTGTTGTTTTAAAAGCTCTTATGAGTTTTTGTTGCCCTGGTACAATTTGGTTGAAAGTAAAAAAAAATACTTGTGTTAATTAACAGTTCTCTCTGCTAGTGGGGCATAAATAAACATACTTCAAAATATAATTGCCCCACTTATCAACGCCTGTGACGATTTATGTATTCAACACTTCAAGAGCATCGTGTGGCCAATAGATTGCATGGAATATTTTTCGGGTCTATTTGAACATTAAATGAATATTTTAAAGAAGAATAAACAATTAATAAGAAATAGGGTCGTGCCTAGCATGTCGCCATTGCAAGGGTATGCAGAAATAGAAATGTACATAATATAATGTTTACATTTTAATGGTTATTTTATTAGTCTTATACTATAATGAATGAACCTAATGAGAATTTTCGAAAACCGAATATAATCTCTCCAGAGTAGCGAATTCAAAACCCTTGTTCGATAGTCGCACTAACACACAACCTACGGCTATTAATTATTATATTGAACAATTAAATCAGCAAGGTCAGTTACCGTGCGTCAATAATATTATTTTCATAATTATTTAATATAGATTTGTATGTATTTCAGTTGCATCTTCGTAGCTACATTGGCGTGAGAGGGCAGCACGACCTACATACAGACTCAAGGTAATTATATCATAAATGTTTTTCCCCTTTATAATTAGGAATACCCTAGAATTACATTAAATTATGCATAGGAAAACCACACTACTATATTAATTAAAAACCTATAAAATATTTTTATTAAACACAATTACTTTTCGCACCGGTCGAGACGCCACAAGCACGATTATCGAGTGAGGGGTGAAACCCTCAGAAATGTATAATCTTCACTTCGACATATTCATCGCTTTGATATATTAGTGGGTGCACTTAAATAGTGGTTGAATATAAACTACACCATGTAAAGTTGGTTAAGGCAAGGTGCACATTATAGCAACCACCTTGCTCCAGTTATGTTACGAGTCCCACGTACATAATAAAGGTGATAATATTGTGATACTATCATACTGTACACAAATCTGGGTTCCGTGCTATTACTGAAAATAGAAGTATCGAAAAACTAAAATCCTCCATTAATACTTTAATTAACACAGGATTCGAACACGTAGACCTTTTTCCCGACTATCGATATTTACACAAAATTTTAATACATATTCTGTATTATTTCAGGCAAGAAGCAGATACGTCTCCTGAAGTAAAATCTACAACGTTCTCCAAAGTAGTGAACGTAATTTATCGTGAGATAAATCAATAGATATTATGCTCATTACTTTGGATATGTTGTACGAAAATTCAACAGAGGAAGAAATAGGAGAAGACAAGAGAAGAATGAAGAAAAGAAGAGAAATGTGTTTCTTATTTTGTGCATGTGTGCTGATTTTTGTTTGTAATTCATTGCACGTTTGTTAGTACATTTGTTATTTTCTTTTTAATGTTGTAGAATTGTACTATTCGGTATGCATCTTTTGCGTTCTTATAATGTTGGGTTCGATTCCTCGTTTAAGCAATTTTTTTTTCTTTTTTATATAAAATTTGTGCAAGTTAAATAAGAACTGTCTCTCCAAATATTTGGTTCATCTAGATGCAATATAAGTTGTTTTGCTTAGAATAATTATGTTAATAAAAATCATTATGAGACTTACCAGCAATCCAATGAGCAGTATCAGCGCGATAACTCCAATAGTACTGACTGCGATGGCAACAGCAGCTCCTGATCCACTATCCTCTTCATCACCAAGCACCCTGGACGACGCCTCAGTAGTCATCTCTCCTGGGTAACTTGTCCCTTCATCTATTCCATTGCCGGTTTTCATAGCATCATCTATCACCGTTGTAGTTATAACCACCGTTGTATCGTGAATTTTTGCATTTTGCTGAGTTGTCGTTTCTTCACGCATCGTGGTAGTAGGCATCGTGGTAGCACGCATCGTGGTAATAAGCTGTGTCGTCACGTTTTCTATAATTATCGTCACGGGAACAACAGTTGTAGGAATTGTAGTAACAGCTTCAGTTGTAATTTGAGCTGTAACAGGTTTCACAGTTTCTTGAGTAATAACTTCATTGCTACCGCTACTCTCTTCAGTGCAGTCAGTCTCTTGTGATTCACTTGATGTTTCAGTGGTTTCTGATGTTTCTGTTGATGTAGAAATTCTCTGTTCTCTTTCAGTGTTTATTTCTGTTACGATTTCTACTACTATTGTCGTTGTGTCTTCCATTTCACTGGTTGTACTTGATGCAGCTGATGGAACTGGAGTGGTATCTGCTGGCGTTGTCTCTTCAGTCGGACTTACTGTAGTGGACTGTGATAATAGTCCCAATGTAGTCACCTCAGTAGTCACCTCTTGTGTTGTAGGTTGAGTACTAACTTCTATAGTTGTAGAAGTTTCAGTTGGAATATCAGTCGTCGTCGTAGGAGATTCCGTTGGAGTTGTAGTTTCAAACACCTGTTTCGTAGTACTTTCCAATATTTGAGACGAAACTTCTATAGGTGATGTAGTTTCAATAATAGTAGTTGTAGATTCCTCTACAGCTTCCGTCGTTAAGTATTTAGGTCTGTATGTAGTGACAGGGCTATCCTTTATAGTAGTTATTCTTGTCCTAGTCGGGAAAACAGGATGCCACATACTAGGCGTGGTGCTGCGAATGGGAGGCGACTCAGTATCAACCGTCTCAGTTGGTACATAAGAAAATCTAATTGTAGTAATTTCATAATCAGTAGTAGTCCTAGGTTTTTCCTCAGTCACTGTCTGGTTGAGTTCCGAACTAGCGACAGATTCATCTTGCGGTGTAGTGACATCTGCTGGTAGTTTCGTAATTGATTCAAAACCAGTTGACTTCGTTGTATCAACTGGTGGAATTGTCTTTTTATCCGTAGATGCTTCTGATTCAACTGTTGCGGAAACCCAAGACTCTTCTGTTTGATTTTCAATAGAATTTGACCTGTCCGTAGTAGCTGGTTTTTCACTACTTTGAAGAGAAATATTACTTTCAGCTGGTAGTCTTAAATCGGATTTAGTCTCAGTTGTGCTTTCTGTTTTTACTTCAAAATTTGGAGAAGTTGAAGCAAATATAGGCTGCCACGTTAATTTGTTCTGCTCAAGTTCTGTGACCTTCTTTGGAATGATATCGTTACTAATTGTGCTCGCTGTTGTTGATGTTGTGGTTGCACTCATTATTTCCTTTTTGTCTGAAACATAAATTATTATCCTAATTAATATAAAACTATCTCATCACTCGTATCTAAACTATGAAATACTGACTTATACTCAAGCTAATACTCTTATAATGATTCAGTTCTCAATTAATTCATAAGTTCATAAATAATAAACTGAATATAAAACAATTTTACCTACATACATACTTGCCAAACCATACCAAATTCTTTTTCCTGATGTTCACTGATAAAAAATTAGTTTTGCTAAAGTATATTTTTCCAAAACTTCAAAAAATACATTAATATAATATTACTCACCTAAAACTTCTCCAACTTTCTGCAATTCATTTTCATCGACGCTCTTCTGTGTTGAGGTTTTGTTCGCTGATCCAGGTGCAGGTGGAGGGCTGCGTAGACTGGCTAGAGCCCATGCTGTCGATGTTGGAGGTATCTGCCACTCACTCTCCGTCTCATTCTCTGTCTCAACTTCAGTCGAGGACGCCGTTGACGATGCGAATTTCGTTGAACCCCGTTTCCACAAACTTGGAACCGTATTATCAGATATCGACTGAGAATGCACCACCTTCTTAGTTCCACTTATTTCGCTTTGTAATACAGGATCGATATCTGAAGAAACTGTCGTCAACATTGTCCGACTCGGCTGCCGCGGTTGAGGTGTTGTCTTTTCTTTCACACTAAAATGCTCAGAGTATATCGTCGTGGGATTCGTTGGTCGAACGTATGGTCTGGTAAAATTTCGTCTTGGCACCATCCAAATAGGTTTCGTTTTAGGAGTTGTATGATGGAATTTACGTAATGCAAGCCTTGGACTAGGAGTTGAAAGAATTACATTATCAGGTTTCGGTGTCACACTATTAGGAGAGTCATTATTACTATTTATATTAAGACGTTTCGAATAAGTTCGATGTCTGTTGAAGCTACTGGAAAACTTTTTAGTTACTCTTTCCGTCGATGATATGGAATTTTGAGTAGAAACTGGAATAGAATTTATTGAATCTATAAGGGGTATCCCACTAGATAGAGGCAGATAACTAGTAGGTGATACGGATATACTCTCAGGGCTAGGATCAGGCAGTGGCGGCCGAGTCGCTGCTTGCACTGGATGTTTTGAGGCTTTGACAGACGCTAATTCTTCTTCTACGGACGTACTCGGTGTCGGTACAGGTACAGATTCATTATCGCAGTCGTCGTCATGAGTGATAGCATAGGTTTCAGTGGATAAGACAGACATTTCATAGTATATACTTGTACCTTGTACATCAGATAACTCTTTTTTGGAACTATCAGCACCATCATTATCTAAGAGACGAATTTCTTTGGTGTTTTTAATAAAGACTGACGACCTGTTAGTCGGCGTATTATTACCTAGTTTCTCCATACCAATATTTTCCTTTATAATTTGGATATTAGGCGTATTGGAAGGAGTAGCTTTAGCTTTCATAGTATCTAAATTGTTAATAATACTTGAAGAGATCCGTTGAAACTTCTTGTCGAAGTAATCGTTTTTCGGCGTCGTTAACTCGGAGTCGAAATCAAAGAAAGATTCAGATTTAAATATATCATGAGTTGTATCTTTGTAGCCGTATGATGCTTCACGAGGGTAGAAGCTAGAGAAGCCTCCATATGTCGGACTACTGTACTCATTCTTTACTTTATTGTCAGAGCTCTCGTTGTCCGAGTCATGAGTGAAGTCACTTCCGTAGTTAAAACTGGGTATAGTAAAGAAAGTGCTATCAAAATTTCCAGAAGTGAATCTCTCAAAAGATTCCTTTTCTTCATCTTCAGCTTCCACTTCTTCCTCGGAAACTTCTTCACTGTGAACTTCTTTCTTCACACTAAAAGGAGTTGTACTGCTAATCAAATTTGGCAGTTTTGTTTTCTTATATTTTTGCATACTGTCTACAATTTCCGCGGGTCTTTTTACTTCTGGCGTAGGAGTTACTATTACTAAGTTGGGGGTGGTTTCTGTGGATTTTACTCTTCTTCTTGGACTTTCTGAGCTAGATTTGATCTGTGCATTGAATCGTACTCTTCCCCTGTCCTTGTATTTTGCGTTTTTTTCTGTGTGTTCTTCAGATGTGGAGTCTTTAGGGTTTAGTTCGTTAAGGGAGACGTCTGGAGTCTTGGGTCGGTTCCTCGCAAGCCAGGTGCCGTTGACACGGCTGTACCGTGGCGCCCTCTCATCTTTGACAGTCGTAGATGTCGTATCGGGTATAGCGTTGCCGCTAACTGCTGTGCTGCTCAACAGTAGTAAATTTACTACTAATGCTGCACCTGTAACATAACAGTGTTAATGTTAATAATGTATTATTTTATGACAGTTATTGTGTGATGTCGTCTGTTTGTATGATTGTTAAATATCTTTAATGTAGTATAGTTATTCATTTCATGCAAAAGCTAAGGACCTATTCTAAAGTAACTAGTTTCTTACTGGATTTGTTTTTACCTAACAATTTCATTTAAAGTTTCAGTACACTCATTGTTTGTTAACATTCTTTTATCTATAACTCGAGTTGTATGTCCAATAAATGTATATTTACTAAACTATTTTTATTTTTGAACTTACCTAAACATATTCTCACTGGCGATTCCATGTTTATAACATGTCGTTACAAGTATTGTATTCAACTCTGCTTCATCTCCATCCTGTCATGGCTCGCCCTGGAAATAAAACAAAAATATAATGTTAATATCTTTCATACGTTTATATCATAGCTGTTGTTTTTTAAAAATATAGGTGACTGCCTCGTTGGCCGAGTGGTCGTAAGTGCGACTGCCGGGCAAGGGGTCTCGGGTTCGATTCCCGGGTCGGGCAAAGTATTACTGGGTTTTTAAATATTCTCAGTAGTAGCACGGAGTCTGGAATTGTGCCCGGTATATGGCAATAGGCTCACCCCCTATTACATGGGACTCATAACATAAATAGTGAAAAGTGGGTGTTATATTGTACAGTGGTATAATGTGCACCTCTGCCTACCCCTTCGGGGATAAAAGGCGTGATGTTATGTATGTTAGGCTTTAGAATTAATCTGGATACTAAAGCCTAATCCTCCCTTAATCCCTAGTCCCTAAAAGGCCGGTAACATAACTCCTATTAACGTGTCTATTGGTCATCTTTGCCAGAGTTTTTTTTTCAGTGGTTATTATAATTCAATCAACAATGTCCTGTGAAATAAGAAGTAAAGTCGTGAAACACGATACAAATAATCCTTACTAATATTATAAATCGGAAAGTGAGTTTGTTTGTTTGTTCCACTTTCGCGCCGTAACTTCTAAACCGATTGCTTTGAATTTTTGCAGACGTGAAGTTAGAAGTCTGGATTAAATAATAGGGTACATTTTATCCCGGAAAAATTTGATATTCTCGAGGGAAAACGAAATTATTAGTATAGATGGCGCTGTGTGTATTGATATGTGTCACATAGGCTACTTTTTATCCTTTTGTGACGCGAGCGAAGCCGCGGGTAAAAGCTAGTTATTCAAATAAATCTCACGAGAGACGTCGTGTTAATTGCAGTATAAAATAGCAATAAATTGCACATGGCAATCGTAATAGTTCACAACGTTAGATACTCATGGGAAACTGTTTATATAACGATGTTGTGATGGTGTACCTAACTCATGCCGTGTGCTTAGAAAATTATAATATACGCTAGGTACCTATATTGTGAAAAATAGACGTTAGGTACGTATTGAATAATAAATGATGGTAATTTTTCGCTGTTCAAAAAAAATAGTAAACTACAGTATTTTTTTCATTTGTGAAATTCATTGTTATTTATTATAATATTTGTCTACTCTACATACTATATAACAAATAGCTGTCTGTACCAGTACGAACTAGAAAGATTATTATCGACCATTAAGTCTTGAATTGACTGCACGGTTGGTGCGGTGGCTGGTCAACCGGCTGCAGCGCAACGTTTCGCGAGTTCGATTCCCGCACGGAGCGAGCGATGTGTGATCCACAAATTTTTGTTTCGGGTCTGGGTCTAATCTGTATATCTATATGACATTGTATGTGTGTAAACTCACCCACGACACACGAGAAAATCGTAGAGTGAGGGCAAGGGTATATATAAAAAAAAACAATAAAAAAAATCACAGTTGAAAACCCTAAAACCTTCCAACGTGTTGTTGTACCTAAATGTGGTTGTTTTACACCAAAACCACATAGCACATTCATTCATGAATTCACAAACAGACGTCAAACAACAAATTGCTACAACAAAAAGATCAGGGTCCCTATTTTCAAACACAACCTCGAAATACATCTTAAATGGAACGGTTTAACACTCCGTAGCATAAAGAGACCTGACCCACAAAGATAATTATCAGTACCTACTCATACAGGGCCATGTACCTTAATGACCATCGCAGTCAAAATTACCACCAGAAGTGGTAATTGGTCAAAATACTTGGGTTCAGTAGGTCAGTTGTAATTTTGTTAGGAGTTGCCAACTCTTACAACTTATTGTTGTGTTTTTGTGATTAATTTACTTTGATAGGAAGTTTTAGCAATTTTTGTGTGAAGGAAGGGTGCTACGTAAGTTTTTGTGGGTTAATCTAAGTAGGAATTAGTTGTGAAAAGTATTGTGCTTTTTCCAAGAGGTACTGCGATGTTCACTGATTTGAATATGGAAATTTATAATAAAACAACTTTGTTTATAGTAAGTAGTGCACCGCTCAAGGGAACGTTCGCCCACCACTTCTAACAGATGGGAAGTGTGTGGTGTGACACCGTTGACCTGTGACTACATTATTTTATTGTTTATATATCACAGGTACTAACTCAGCCTAGGTCCAAAATGGAATTCCATCTTTTTTCGTTAGTAAAGTTTTATTTTTCATGCAACAGGTGTCTAAATTAGCTACTTATTCATATTGACCAAAATCTATTATTTTTTTACACACTATCCTTCAATTTAAACAGTAGTATCAGAGAAGAGAATTATGAAGTTATAAGAAGCCTTAAGTTAAGACATTTCCTAATATCACAAGGTTTAAATGAAGCATGCAATATAACATTAGCTTCGTATAATTTAGTTCAAAGTAACAAACTATTTAGATTAAGTGAGCAAAGGTCAGGAACGCAGTCAATTAGCTACGATTACAAACGTTCAGATGTCCACACAAATTAACGCACGCAAAATACGCATCTATTACCAAGGCTTTAAATGTCAAAAAAGTTTGCTTTACCTAATTATGAAAATTGAGATTTAATAAATGCGTAATATACATTGCGGGTTTTAAATCGTTAAAGAAATTAATAAGCGGTTTGAGGCGAGTAATGAAATGTGAACGAAGGTCGACTTGGAGAGGGTGGTTAAATTAATACACAGTACTGAAATACTAATCGCGTATAATATCTCTGTAACTATGCTTGCTGCTCACACCGTAGATGTCATTTGTCCGTACCCTATATAAATCCCGGTAACGAAACCATAGCGCCATCTAACTCGATCCCAACGCCATCTATCGAGCGCTGGGTCAACTCGTGTTAAATAATGAATTATTTTATAATAAAATAAAATGTTGATAGCGCTATGATCCCGTTACCGCCACGAACATACCGCCCACCAAGGACATATTTTCAATAAATGTCCTTAATAATCCGCCCACCATAACAAATGTGCCATATCACAATCCACTACCCAGTATGGCAACTGACGTCCTTGGCGACTCGTATGTGTATGTATAAGTATAAACCAGCTTAAATAATTCCACTAAAACATAAACAAACAATTCCCAACCCGTTACATAAACTTTAAAATCAATAACAAAAATTAAAACTTCTAAGTAACAATTAAATTAATATCTCAACTTATCAGGTTAATTATACTAAGTTTCATTAGATTCCTGGCAAATTGGCAAAATACATAATTTTGATGTCGGCCTTTTAAACATTGACGATTGAGTGCGTACAGTTACTACTCGAGTCAGTCCATCAGGACCCGGATGTTTTTGCTCAATTTTTCCCATTAACCACCTTGCTGGAGGCATATTATCCTCCTTAATTAAAACAATGTCACCAATAGATGGTTCTGGATTCTTATGAGCCCACTTATGTCGCTGTAAAAATTGTTGTAAATAATCATTAGACCAACGCCGCCAGAAATCTTGCATTATCTTCTGATGAAGTTGCCAACGTCTTAAACTATTTACATTATTAACCTTTTCATAATTTGAATCCGGGGGTAAAACTGGTGGTTCTCCAATCAGAAAATGGCCAGGAGTTAATATGGTAAACTTATCTTGATCCTCAACGTAAGACAATGGTCTTGAATTAAGACAAGCCTCAACCTGAGCCAATACTGTGGCCATCTCTTCATAAGTTAAGGTAGAATTTCCTATTACTCGTTTGAGGTGGTACTGAGTAGATTTTATGCCTGCCTCCCACAAACCCCCAAAGTTCGGCGCGTGAAGAGGGACAAAATGCCATTCTGTACCATTATTACCCAGATATTCAACCAATTCAGAATTAAAACCAGATTTCTCCCAATTTAATAAATAAAGCAACTCCCATGCTGCACCCACAAAATTAGTGCCGTTATCACTATAATACAGCGCAACGACCTCGTCTGGCCATAGGACCAGTGTATACTAATATGACAAAGCTCGTTTTGCAAAGACGGACCAATCATCAGGTCATCATTAAGTGACCTCCCGTTGTTGCGCTTACATGAAGCATCAAATAGAAAACCCACCTTGGTTGTATTTCTATCCTCCCGTATGACAGCATGATAAGGTAAGTAAATACTATTTTTATTATTTCTTTCAGATACTTCGACCATGTTTTAAAACTTAAATACTCTTGTATCACGTTTGCGTAGTCAGCCCTTAATTTATTATTTTTTGCTAACCTTGCTTTTAACCCCCTAAGTCTTTTTTCAGCTGTCCCTTTGGATTCGCGGCCCGTACCAACCAGGTTCGTATCCCGTGATGGCAATCTCACCATGCAACTACCATCTTTATCCCTGGTCGTTGTTGCTGTGAACAATTCTTCACATTTGGTTTCCTCCTCCGTGAGCATCCTTTTTGTTCCAGGTGTTTCTTCCAATACCCAGATTTTCTCAAAAATTCTACATCCTGGACGCTGTTATGCATCACGGTAATTTTTGAGTGAGAATTTATATCTTGGACAACATCAAACGCACCTGATAATATCCATCCCAAAGTGGTTTCTTGCGCTAATAGAGTCCCGTTTCTATTCTTTTTAACACCTTGCTGAATGACTTGACTGTATACCTCAGCGCCCAATAGAATATCGATCTTATTAGGTGTAAAGTATTCCGGATCAGCCAAATCAAATTCGTTCAAGTCCACCCATTCTACCCTAGCTACCTTAGCCGATGGAAGAAGCGATGTTACCGACTTAAGAACGTAGGCGTTAACCTTTATTTGAACCGATGGATTTATTCTAGATTGAAGCTTTATCTCCACTACGGCCGTTGATGTTGTACCCTTATCTCCCACCCCCAAAACTTTGTTTTTCGAAGATCTTTTCTTCAACCCTAGATACTGAACCAGAGCCTCTGTAATAAAAGAACCCTGGGATCCCTGATCCAGTAACGCCCTAACTGTATGGTAAGTC